TGGGCAGGGGGTTGGACTAGATGACCTACAAGGTCCCTTCCAACTCTGTTAATCTTTATCTATCCAGAATCCTAACTGATCTTTCCGTCAGATAGAACAGCATTCCTAAAAGGATTACTCTTTCGGGGGGACTGGAAAAAGTTAGCATCCATCACCACCGGTGGCTTCGTTTAACAACCATGGCAAACGAGACAGTAAAATCTGATTCATTTAACAACAGCAGTCTGTCTGGTTACCAACTACCCCTGTTCTCCTACCCCCCGTTCCAGTGGTGAAATGTAAAATTTGTTAGTACCGGTTCTGTGGGCGTGGCTTGGTGGGGGGGGGTAATGTGACTGGGTGAGCGTGGCCAACTCTTTTTTTTTTTAAGTTTTAAAAGCATTTTTTCTACAACCTCTTCGGCCGAAGAGGTTGCAGAAAAAAAATGTTTTTAAAAGTCTCTTGACGATCAGGCAATTCAGCTGGGATCGTCAGAGGCTTTTAAAAGCATTTTTTTCCCCTACAACCTCTTCAGCCGAAGAGGTTGTAGAAAAAATGCTTTTAAAAGCCTCTGATGATCCCAGCTGAGCCGCGTGATCATCAGAGGCTTTTTTTTTTTTTTACTTTTAAAAGCATTTTTTCGGCTGAAGAGGTTGTAGAAAAAATGTTTTTAAAAGTAAGAAAAAAAAGCCCCTGATGATCGCGCGGCTCAACTGGACATGGCGGGGGGGGGGATGCAGGGATTTTTGCTACCGGTTCTCTGAACCACCCACCGCTATCGGATCAGGTGATCCGGTCCGAACCGGGAGCATTTCACCCCTGTCCCCATCCCAATCTAGAAAAATTAGCAAATGACATTACGAGTTCATTGTCCTCCAGTGTGTACTTTTTAATTAGATGGTGTGGTTTATGTTATTGTTTTTTTTTTCCCCTGATTGTTTCATATTGTTCATGATTTGACTGGTTGATAAGCCGTTTTGAAGATCTGGGAGCAAGGACACGGAAAGAGATTATTATTATTATTTAATGCTATGCCAGAGGCCTGGCGCCCACAGTGACTTTTAATATAAAGACTTTTGTCATGAGATGATACTACCCTTCCCATGTCACACAGCGAGCATCGCCTGGGTCCCATGACATCTAGTATTTACCCCATCGGGGAGCATGTTTGTTCTCACGTCTTTCCTTGACACGGCAAATACCATCTGTCACCAAGGGGGCTGGAGACAGGTTTCATTCATAAGAAACGCTCACCGTGTAATTTCCATGAGAGGAAAGCATCTCAGGTCGATTTTACTACGTCAAAAAAAAAAGAAAGAAAAAGAAGAAAAACCGCAAAACACAACAACATTGGGAAATCAATCCTGAACACAGTTTCTTCTGTCAGGGGCTGAAACTTTGCCCCAAACTCTGGTTTTTCTGACCGTGGTTAGTTAAAGAAACTGCAAACGGCTGAGTTCACACACGGTACAGGCAGTCCTCGGGTTATGACCGCGATGGAGCCCAACATTTCTGCTGCTGAGACATTTGTTAAGTGAGTTTATTAGCCCCATTTTATGGCCTTTCTTGGAATGGAATGGAATGGAATGGAATGGAATGGAATGGAATGGAATGGAATGGAATAGAATAGAATAGAATAGAATAGAATGAGTTGGAAGGGATCTTGGAGGTCTTCTAGTCCAACCCCCTGCTTAGGCAGGAAACCCTACACCCCTTCAGACAAATGGTTATCCAATATCTTCTTAAAAACCTCCAGTGTTGGAGCATTCTATTCTATTCTATTCTATTCTATTCTATTCTATTCTATTCTATTCTATTCTATTCTATTCTATTCTATTCTATTCTATTCTACTCTACTCTACTCTACTCTACTCTACCCTACCCTACCCTACCCTACCCTACCCTACCCTACCCTACCCTACCCTACCCTACCCTACCCTACTTCTATTCTATTCTATTCTATTCTATTCTATTCTGTTCTATTCTATTCTATTCTATTCCTTATTCTGTTCTGTTCTATTCTCCTCTCCTCTCCTCTCCTCTCCCCTCCCCTCCCCTCCCCTCTCCTCTCCTTGTCAGGGTTGCAAGTAACAACCCCAATGAAAGAAGACTCCGAGGCCTGAGATTCCTTTTTATTGAAGATGTCATACTGGCACATCTGGGCAAACCCGAATCTGAAAGCTTCCAGGTTTTCCCCACCCAAGTGAAAGTTCAAGTCCCTGCCCCAGCACCCTCATGTCTATCCCATGGTCCAATCAATGCACCATCCCAACTGGAGATGCCTCCCAGTCATCCGATTCCAGGTGCCAGGGCAAGGCATCCTTGACTCTCTGAGAAAAGAATGTTATTTTGAATACATATCACCCATACTCTATGCAATCCCCCTTCCCATTTTCCCACAGAAGAATATGTGGCAGACCTGAAGGCCCAAATGTAAAAGATGGCTTCCAGGACTGACACTCCTCTCCTCTCCTTTCCTATCTTCCTCTCCTCTCCTCTCCTCTCCTCTCCTCTCCTCTCCTCTCCTCTCATCCTATCCTATCCTATCCTATCCTATCCTATCCTATCCATTCCAGACTCAACAGTGTCTCACCAATATTATTTGACTGTCCTTCCTTCAACAATTTGGCAAGACACCTTCGTAGGGCCAATGGAAATTCTGGTTCCCCATTGTGGTCGTAAGCCAAGGACCGCTTGTCGTGAATAAAATAACTCGTTCTTTCCCATTCTTCATTCCTGAACTGGTTCCCAAACTCGCCAACCTCTTATCTGATGTCTGCAAATGCTCCCTTGCAGCTCTTCCTTTGGGACTTGTGTCAAACCCACACCGGGGAGTTATTTCCCTCCATTTTCACTCGATACGGACGCAGATAACCTCCCCGCTAATTACACCCATTGTCTGCCTCGGCTTTGTTCGCACAGCCAAAGGACCAGAGAAACCACACCAAGATGCATCGCTCTCCGATTAACTTTGGTGCCAGATCAAATCATTCACAGCCTTCCAGATGATGGTTAAGTCTGGAGCCATCCAGACTTTCGTAATCCTAAACTACGCGTCAGGCTGAAAACCCAGATTTTGCCTCAGTTCCACCCCTTGGCACGGGTACAAAAAAACTAATATGTTTAAGAGAGACAGGTTAATCTTCCCCTTTCCATTCCCATCTAGAAAAATGCCTAGAAGGAGACTAAAGAAACTACTGTATTTCAAAGCTCATTAAAAAAAAAAAAAACTCCAAGCAAAATAATGTAATTCATTGCATGTTGCCTCAGATAACATCATTGCAATCATGAACATTGTGGTTGGGGGTCTCTTAATACCTTCTGCAGGGCTGTCTCTAAACATCAGGACTGTGGGGTGGGGTGGGGAGGGGGTTTCTTGAGAGAGATGCTTCTTTAGCATGATGCAAAAGGGAGAGAGACTTTTAAAGTCACTGCCATTTTGCAGGCCTTCCCAGATTTTTTTTTTTTAAAAAAAATAAAGCAGTAGCACGTTTCATTTTTATTTTTTTTACAGTATTCAGGTTATAAACCCCGATGCAGTATTCAGGTTATAAACCTTGTCTTGTTTCCATCCTGTTTGGGTGTCTGTTTGGTTTGACAACATTTGATCCAGTTGTAGTGTTATGATATCAGGGGTGAAATGCTACTGGTTCATCCCGGTTCGGGGGAACCGATAGTGATAAAAAACTACCGATTCAGGCAAACTGGTAGTAGGTTTAAAAAAGCTACCAGTTCATCCGAACTGGAATTTCGATGATCAGCTGTACCGCATGGTTTATATTCTCTAGAAAGCAAGAAATCCTGCTTTCTAGCAAAGCTAAATCGTGCGGCACAGCTGTTTTCCCCCACCCTCGCTGTTCTACTTACCTTAGAAAAAGCTTCTTTTTCCGTGTGAAGTGCACATTTGGTGTATGTTGCGCATGCGTGAGCAGTGTGCTTTTGGCATCTGCTGCGCATGCGCACACGCAGCCCGCATTTGGCATGCGGTGTGCATGCGCAGCCACCGAACCAGTGCCAAACCGGTTCAGAGTTCACCACTGTACTATATATGGAGAGGGAGGGAGGGAGGGGGAGAGAGAGAGAGAGAGGGAAAGAGAGATGCCTTCAATTCCATCTTAACTCTGCCTAGATAGGATAGGCTTGAGGAGGAAAGGGAGAGAGGGAGGAAGGGAGGAAGGAAAAGGGAGGTAGAAAATGAATGAATGAATGAAAGAGAAAGAAAGAAAAGAAAGGAAGGAAGGAAGGAAAAGGGAGGTAGAGAATGAATGAACGAATGAATGAATGAAAGAGAAAGAAAGAAAAGAAAAAAGGAAAGGAAGGAAGGAAGGAAGGAGCGAGGGAGGGAGTGAGGGAGGAAGGGAGGAAGGAACAAAAAGAGAGAAAGAGAGAAAAGAAAGAGGAAGGAAGGAAGGAAGGAAGGAAGGAAGATTTAGCAAAGACAATAGCCTTACGACCTACTTCTGATATGAAGTTACGTTAACCTTATTATCAAATGTGTCTTTTTATCTATTCTAATTTTTTACTTTTATGGTTTACATACAGTCCTAGATTTTCATTTAGAAGCTGTTTTAAGTACATGTTTTAAGCCGATCTTGACTGTAAATATGGAGGATTTACAAGTTTTATTCTTGTAAAAAAGCAAAAAGGAAAATAAAGGAAAATAAAAATAAAAGACATTTCACAAAAGACATGTATTTTAAAATTCCATGCCAGATACTTTATCCATTGTATAATAGACTTAATAAAATACATGTCTTTTACACTCTTTTGCACTGGTGGATATAAGCGACACCTAAAAACAGTCAGAAATCTTAAAATGCTAGGTTGGGGTAGCAATTTTCATCTAACGCTGTAGCAAACCTTTGAGTTGACAAAGCATTTTATTCCCCACTCTGCTAACAAACCTATTTTTTGCTAATAAACTTCAGCAGCTTTCATCTGCAACTTGTGGTTGTCATTTTTTACAAAAAAGATATTTAATTTAGCATTCTTCCTTTCTTCTTGTTGTTGTCGTTCCTTAGGTCTTCCTCACCAAAAATGACCCAGCAACTAAGAGATCTGCAGCTGGCCCATGCTCGAAAGCAGTCGGGACCGTCATCCCCAAATGCCGCCAAGAGGCTTTATCGGAATCTCTCTGGAAAATTCAGAGTTAACTACATGTCATTTGATGAAGGAAACCTAGCCGGGAAAGGTGAAAAGGAGAAACAGCGAAAATCCTACCTGGTAAATTGATTCAAGGTGTTAGTTATCACCTTTAAAGCGCTCCGTGGCTTAGGACCTGGGTACCTACGAGACCGTCTTTTGCCACCAATAGCCTCCCACCGACCAGTTCGTTCTCACAGGGAGGGACTACTCAGGGTACCGTCAGTCAAATTATGCCGACTAGCGACTCCCAGGGGGAGGGCCTTCTCTGTGGGGGCTCCAACCCTTTGGAATGAACTGCCCCTGGAGATACGGAATATCCCTGATCTCCGTGCTTTCTGCCGTGCCCTCAAGACCCTGATGTTCCAACAGGCGGGGCTAAACATATGAACATGCGAATGATTTTTTTAAATGTTATCTAATTCTGGGTTTTATTTGATTGACCAAACTAAGTAATAATTTTAATTAGCAATTTTAAGATGTTTGTGTGTCTATATTTTTCTTGACTGTACACCGCCTTGAGTCCTACGGGAGAAAGGCGGTATAGAAATATAATAAATAAATAAATAAATAAATTTTACTACTGGTATCTAGTTTGAGGTTGTTTTTTTATTATTATTATTTGATTTATATGCCGGCCTTCTCTGGAGACTCAGGACGGCTTACAGTGTGTTAAGCAATAGCCTTCATCCTTTTGTATATTTATACAAAGTCAGCTTATTGCCCCCACAAACTGGGTCCTCAATTTACCTACCTTAGAAAGGATGGAAGGCTGAGTCAACCTTGAGCCTGGCGAGATTCGAACTTACTTTACTTGCAGACAGCTGGTGTTAAATTACAGTGCTTAGTCTGCAGAGGTATCCAGGCTCTGCAGACTGAGTGAATAGCTCAGTGGATTTTTAGAAGGTCCATGGTTTCTTATTCCAAAATAAAAAGGGGACGAAAGAAACATGACCTTCCAGATATGGGGGAATTGCCAGCTAGGCTGGAGGGAGGAGTCAAGCGAGGGCCTAGCTTTGAATCCTTGCATAGTGACAAGTGGAATAACATGGCCTCTCCTGCCAAATCCATTTTTAGCTTTATCTAGTCATTCCCAAGGGACGGCAGAGAGTGGGGTGGGAATGGAGATTTTGCAATATCCTTCCCCTGGAGTGGGGAGGGAATGGGGATTTTGCAGTATTCTTCCCCTGGAGTGGGGTGAGAATGGAGATTTTGGAGTATCCTCCCCCTGGAGAGGGGTGGGAATGGAGATTTTGCAGTATCCTTCCCCTGCCATGCCCACCAAGCCACGCCCACCAAGCCACACCCCGCCGACCAAGCCACGCCCACAGAACCGGTAGTAAAAAAAAATTGGATTTCACCACTGATGCCATCTCCCTTCTTCCCATCCCTTTGAATGTAGATGTGTATGCTAAAGACAAGGTAAGGTCTCGTAGAATGCCGGATGATACTCAAATCTAGCAGGATGGTGTGACTTTGTTCCCCTCTGCAGTTTCAAGGCAATGCTGCTCTATTTGAGGCCGTTGAGTTGCAAGACCTGGATAAGGTGCAAGAACTACTCAAGCAATACAGTCTGGAGGAACTGGATCTTAATACTCCTAACAGTGAAGGACTCCTGCCGCTAGATATCGCCATCATGACCAACAACTCGCCCATTGCCAAGACCCTCTTGCTGGCTGGAGCCAAGGAAAGTCCTCACTGTAAGTCAGAAGCTCTTACGGTCCTTACCCTCTTCCAAGCTCTTTCTTCATAGTAACAGTAATGGAGAACATCTGTAGCTCAGGGTTGAAATGAGGAGTCCTGAGTGCTCTCTGAGCTTGGTTGTTTTCCTGCAGATGTTTTATTATGCAAACGTCATCTAGAACAGGGGTCAGCAACCTGTGGCTCTGGAGCCGCATGTGGCTCTTTCATCCCTCTGATGCGGCTCCCTGTTGCCAGTCGGCTCCACAATTGATGGGGCTTTCAGTTAGGATAGGTAGAGGAAAAAGGACGCCACGCTAGGAGGAGATTCTATGGTGGGGGGAACTGGACTTCCAGTTGGCAGAGGAGAAAGGATGCCGCACTAGGAGGAGACTCTATGGAGGGGGGAACTGAACTTCCGGTTGGCTCCAGAATTGAACGGGGGGCTTCCGGTTAGGGCCTTTGTGGCTCTTTGAGTGTTTAAGGTTGCCGACCCCTAATCTAGAACATCATCAGTACTAGAAGGGAGGGTGGTTTGCAGAGTGGAGGAGGACTATGGGATCCTTGGTGCTCTCTGAGCTTGGCTGAATTTAAGCAGATGTTTCACTACCTAGCATCATCAGCGCTAGAAGGGAGTTGGGGTTTACTCTCATGTTATATACTAGTGGCTTGCTCCGTCAGTGTTGGCGGGAGACACAGGGTAAGCCACAAATCTATCAAATGAGAGAAAACCCTATTCTCTTCTAACACTGGTGATGTTACCTAGTTTAGGTAATGAAACATCTGCCAGAAGTCCAAGGATCCCTCGTTCTCATAGATGGGCTCCAGCATGAAGCCGAAAGCTCGGAAGACTAAACCTCTGGGTCCCAGAGACCGACCCAAATTGGGTCGATCTGAAAAGAACTGGTTTCAGGTGGAAGAAGAGAACAATGAGGCGGAATCATTAATGAATTAATTAATGAGGAATTCCAAGAAGAGCAACAGATGATTAAGTGTCGAGAGCCGTGATGGCGAACCTATGGCATACGGGCCAGAGATGGCCTCTCTGATGGCACGTGAGCTATCACCTCAGTTCAGGTCTGCTGCTCATGCCCGCGTGCCTCCCATTGGCAAGCTGGTCTTCAGGTCTCTGCCGTGTATTTGCAGGGGCGGGGGGCGTGCAGGGGGCTGCGCATGCGAATGCACGAGGGGTGGGGTGCATGCACAAAGGCCCATGCATGGGGGCCGCTCGTGCATTGCATTTTGGGGGTTTAGGTGTGCACACGCACATTCGCTTGCATGAATGTGTGCTTTGGGCACTCGGTCCAGAAAAGTTTAGCCATCACTGGCCTAGAGGCTTAAACGTATTTATTTATTAGTTTATTTATTTATTAGTTCAATTTATATGCCGCCCTTCTCCGAAGACTCTTCTTCTTCTTCTTCTTCTCCTTCTCCTTCTCCTTCTCCTTCTCCTTCTCCTTCTCCTTCTTCTTCATCATCATCATCATCATCATCATCATCATCATCATCATCATCATCATTATTATTATTATTATTATTATTATTATTATTATTATTCTGTTTAGGAAATAAGGATTGAGAAAAATTACTTGGATTTGTAAAATTGCTAGGAATGGGCATTCTCTAGGTCTGTGATGACAAACTTACGGAGGCATGTTGCCTGGCACCCGCAGTGTCGCCCGTTTCCTCTTCCGGGTTTCTGGCACACCTGCGCACGTGATGATCAACTGGCCTTTTTGTATGAGCATGTGGTCTGTCCAGCTGATCGTCACGTGCGCATGCACACCAGAAACCCGGAAGAGTAGCTGGCTGTAAGCAGAAGTTCAGTAGCTGAAACCGGAAGTTCATTTTCGGGTGTGCACATGCGCCCCTGGGCACCTCCTTTTCCAGGTTGCGACCCCAGAGGTTCACCATCACTGCTCTAAGTCTAAAGCAGAATTTCCCAACCTTGGCCACTTTAAGATGTGTGGACTTCAGTTCTCAGAATTCCCCAGCCAGCTGTGTTGGCCAAGGCGGGGAAACCCTAGTCCCGTGATGGCGAACCTATGGCACGTGTGCCACAGGTGGTACGCATAGCCATATCAGTGGGCATGCCAGCTCAGCTCTGGCGTGCATGCGCGCACTGGCCAGCTGATTTTCGGGCCTTTCTGGGCCTACCAGAAGTAGGGAAACAGCCTGTTTCCTACCTCCGGAGGGCCTGGAGGGATGCGGAAGGCTCGTTTTTCTTCCTCACCTGGCTTCAGATCCTCTCTGTGCATCTGGGGAGGGTGAAAACAGCCTTTCCCACTCCCTTGGAGGCCCTCCAGAGGCCTGAAACAGCCCATTTCCCAACTCCCAGTGGGGCAGGAAGTGATGTTTTTTGCTGTCCCCAGCCTCCAGAGACTCCTAGAGAGGTCATACAGGGCCATCGCGTGCCAGAAGGGGAGTGTGTGTGCACATGCGCAGGGCGGGCCAGATAGAATTCTGGGTGTGGGCACACACACGCGTAAACCTCCCCCACCCCCGCTCCTGGCACGCGATGGCAAAAAGGTTAGCCATCACTGCCCTAGTCTAAAGCCATAGAGAAACCTTTCCAATATGTAGAGAGAATTGTTCCTTCTCCCTTCTTTCTTTTTCCCCCTTTCATATTTTCATCTTCTTCTCTTTTTTTTTCTCCCAAGTTGTAAGCCTGGAGAGCCGGTCTTTGCATCTGGCAACCCTGGTTCGGGAAGCAGAACAGCGGGTGAACGATCTCACCGCGCAAGTGGTGAACGAGCTGCCCAACGCGGAAAGTTCAGAAAAGGAGAAACAGCTGAAGGCCTGGGAATGGCGATACCGGCTTTACAAGCGCATGAACGCCGGATTTGAACATGCACGTGAGTCTCTGGGAAAAACAGGGGCCTCTACGCCTCCGTTCAGAAAGATCGGGAATTTTGATCTATTGGAATATTGGAAGAAATATGCAATCCCTCTATGAGGGAGATGGGAGGTTAAGCTGTTTGATAAACAAATAAACCTACTTACATATAAGGAGCCATGGTGATGCAACGGAGCTATGGTGGCACAGTGGTTAGAATGTAGTAAAGTAAAGGTAAAGGTTCCCCTCACACATATGTGCTAGTCGTTCCCGACTCTAGGGGGCGGTGCTCATTTCCAATTCAAAGCCGAAGAGCCAGCGCTGTCCGAAGACGTCTCCGTGGTCATGTGGCCGGCATGACTCAACGCCAAAGGCGCACGGAATGCTGTTACCTTCCCACCAAAGGTGGTCCCTATTTTTCTACTTGCAATTTTTACGTGCTTTCGAATTGCTAGGTTGGCAGAAGCTGGGACAAGTCATGGGAGCTCACCCCGTTACCCGGCACTAGGGATTCGAACCGCTGAACTGCCGACCTTTCGATCGACAAGCTCAGTGTCTTAGCCACTGAGCCACCGCGTCCCTTCAAAAATTGCAGTATTGCAGGCTAATTCTGCCGACTGCAGTTCGATTCTCACCGGCTCAAGGTCGACTCAGCCTTCCGTCCTTCTGAGGTTGGTAAAATGAGGACCCAGATAGTTGGGAGCAAGATGCTGACTCTGTAAACCGCTTAGAGAGGGCTGTAAAAGCAGTGCAAAGCAGTATATAAGTCTAAGTATAATTGCTATTGACATACATACATACATATATACCTTCCAAACTAACAATCAGAAAAGGGGAGCCAGGGCCATGCAAACAGCACTCACATACAGGTAGTCCTTGACTTATGTCCACAATGGAACCCAAAATTTCCATTGCTAAGCCAGATAGTTGTTAAGCGAGCTTTGCCCCATTTTACAACCTTTCTCGCCACCGTTGTTAAGTGGATCCCTGCCGTTGTTCAGTTAGTAACCCGGTTGTTCAGTGGCTTCCCCCACTGACTTTGCTCATTAGGAAGGTCACAAAAGTGGATTACATGACCCCGGGACATTGCAACCGTCATAAATACGAACCCGTTGCCAAGTGTGTCCAAATTTTGATCACGTGACCATGGGAGATACTATAACGGTCGTTAAGTGTGTAAAAAAAAAGTTCACTTTTTTTTTCGGTGCCATTGTAACTTCAAGCGGTCATTAAACAAAATGGTCGCAAATTGAGGACTACCTGTATCGAACGAGAATCCATTATGCTGAGTCCATCTTTAAGAAGGAAGTTCTCAGTTCGTCTTGCTCGTGTCAGCCACTGTAAATGTAGTAAGTGAGTCAGAATATTTACGTCTGCTGTTCTTGTAGCAAGTCACTAGGGTTCCCCAGTCCTGTTCCAAGAAAACCTTTTGTTGGGCAGAAGTTTGAGACCACATATTTCTCCCGAATGTACCGCTGTGGACGTAGGGAGATTAAGCTTTGTCACGGCTATTGGGGATCCACAAGAGACATGCTTGTAATCAGCATCTCTCTTGTGGAACGCCTTAAGATGAGTCAAGTAAGGAGCAAGACTGATTGGCAAAGCCACGAAGCTCCACTCCCCAGCTCCTTTGAGTTTGAAAGGAAAACGTAACTTCCATTCCTAGCTAACATAGCTGTAATCAGCCGTAGTGGGACAGGGGTTAGCGCAGTGGTGAAATCCAAATTTCCGCTTCGGCGGAATCACAACCTCTTCGGCAGAAAAAATGCTTTTAAAAGTAAAAAAAAAAAAAAGCCTCTGATGATCGCGCGGCTCAGCTGGGATCGTCAGAGGCTTTTAAAAGAGGTTGTAGAAAAAAAATGCTTTTAAAAGCCCCTGACGATCCCAGTTGAGTTGCCTGATCGTCAGAGGTTTTTAAAAGCATTTTTTTCTGCAACCTCTTAAGGTTGTAGAAAAAATGCTTTTAAAAGTAAAAAAAAAAGTTGGCCACGCCCACCCAGTCACATTACCACCACCAAGCCACGCCCACAGAACCAGTAGTAACAAATTTTACATTTCACCACTGACACAGATGTATAGACTGTAGTTGTATTCACAGGTGGTCCTTGACTTATCATCACAATTGGGACCCGAACTTCCCTTTGTTGAATGAGTCACATCCGATTTTACAACCTTTATTTTTTTTTTTTTGTCCTGGTTGTTAAGTGAATCACTGCAATTGTTCAGCGAGTCACATGGCTGTTAAGCGAATCTGGCTTTGTCCATTGACTTTGCTCGTTGGAAGTCAGCTGATCATCACGTGACCTTGGGACACTGCAGCCATCATAAACACATGGCAATTTCCAAGCGCCAACATTTTGATCACATGACCACGGGGATGTAAGTCAAGGACCACTTGTGTCTCTATCAAGGTTATCTTTCTTTCCACCGTTTCCTTTCCAAAGATTTTGGTTTCATTTTGACTGTAACAATCAGACTCTTTAAGTTTGCCTTGGATTAATATTCCTTCGGTATGTTTGGATCGCTTTTCCTGATATCTGTGCTTCCGCCCCACCCGCAGGAGTCCCAGATCCACCTACAAATGTCCACCTTTCAGTGGCCAGCAGCACCTCTGTCGAAGTGTCATTTCAGGAACCTTTAAGCGTCAATTCAGCGATTGTCACCAAATACAAAGGTAAGCCTTTTTTGATATTTCATCAATAGCAGTGAACAAAATGTCCCGAGCAGGAAACATGAAATCTCCTGGTGATGCATCATGTTTAATGCAGCACTAGAACTCACCGTCTCCTGGCGATTGGCCCAAAGTCCCCCAGTCTACTTCTCATGCCTAAGGCAGGCTAGAACTCACCGTCTCCTAGTGATTGGCTCCAAGTCACCCAGCTGGCTTTCATGCCTAATGCAGCACTAGAACTCACGAGCCCCTGACGATCCCAGTTGAGTTGCCTGATCGTCAGAGGTTTTTAAAAGCATTTTTTTCTGCAACCTCTTAAGGTTGTAGAAAAAATGCTTTTAAAAGTAAAAAAAAAAGTTGGCCACGCCCACCCAGTCACATTACCACCACCAAGCCACGCCCACAGAACCAGTAGTAACAAATTTTACATTTCACCACTGACACAGATGTATAGACTGTAGTTGTATTCACAGGTGGTCCTTGACTTATCATCACAATGGGACCCGAACTTCCCTTTGTTGAATGAGTCACATCCGATTTTACAACCTTTATTTTTTTTTTTTGTCCTGGTTGTTAAGTGAATCACTGCAATTGTTCAGCGAGTCACATGGCTGTTAAGCGAATCTGGCTTTGTCCATTGACTTTGCTCGTTGGAAGTCAGCTGATCATCACGTGACCTTGGGACACTGCAGCCATCATAAACACATGGCAATTTCCAAGCGCCAACATTTTGATCACATGACCACGGGGATGTAAGTCAAGGACCACTTGTGTCTCTATCAAGGTTATCTTTCTTTCCACCGTTTCCTTTCCAAAGATTTTGGTTTCATTTTGACTGTAACAATCAGACTCTTTAAGTTTGCCTTGGATTAATATTCCTTCGGTATGTTTGGATCGCTTTTCCTGATATCTGTGCTTCCGCCCCACCCGCAGGAGTCCCAGATCCACCTACAAATGTCCACCTTTCAGTGGCCAGCAGCACCTCTGTCGAAGTGTCATTTCAGGAACCTTTAAGCGTCAATTCAGCGATTGTCACCAAATACAAAGGTAAGCCTTTTTTGATATTTCATCAATAGCAGTGAACAAAATGTCCCGAGCAGGAAACATGAAATCTCCTGGTGATGCATCATGTTTAATGCAGCACTAGAACTCACCGTCTCCTGGCGATTGGCCCAAAGTCCCCCAGTCTACTTCTCATGCCTAAGGCAGGCTAGAACTCACCGTCTCCTAGTGATTGGCTCCAAGTCACCCAGCTGGCTTTCATGCCTAATGCAGCACTAGAACTCACGATCTCCTAGTGATTGGCCCAAATTTACCCAGTTGGTTTTCATGCCTAATGCAGCACTAGAACTCACCATCTCCTGGTGATTGGCTCAAAGTCACCCAGCTGGCTTTCATGCCTAATGCAGCACTAGAACTCACGATCTCCTAGTGATTGGCCCAAATTCACCCAGCTGGTTTCATGCCTAGGGCAGGACTAGAACTTATCATCTCCTGGTGATTGGCTCTAAGTCACCCAGCTGGTTTTCATGCCTAATGCAGCACTAGAACTCACCATCTCCTGGTGATTGGCCCAAATTCACCCAGCTGGCTTTCATGCCTAATGCAGCACTAGAACTCACCTCTCCTAGTGATTGGCCCAAATTCACCCAGCTGGTTTTCATGCCTAATGCAGCACTAGAACTTACCATCTCCTGGTGATTGGCTCTAAGTCACCCAGCTGGTTTTCATGCCTAATGCAGCACTAGAACTCACCATCTCCTGGTGATTGGCTCTAAGTCACCCAGCTGGCTTTCCTGCTTAGGGCGGGACTAGAAGTCACAGTCTCCTGGTGATTGGCGGAAGGTCACCTAACCAGCTTTCATGTCTTAAGATAGGACTAGAACTCCCCATCTTCCGGTTTCTAGCCCGGTGCTATAACCACTAGGCCAAACTGCCTCTCTTAATTACTGGCCAAGTAAGGGTTGGTTCTTTTCATGTCATTGCAGTTGAGTGGAGCTGCTCGCCCACTTTTTCTCCACCGCTGGGCGAAATGGTGATTGACAAGCTGAAAAAACTCCAGATCACCATCCACGGCCTTGTCTCGGTGAGTGTGTGTCCCTCTTGGGGGTGTGGAACCTTGAGGCTACTTCAGGTCTTGACCCCAACTGACCCCAACCTTTTCTCACTCCAAAGACGTAAGACCTTTCCACCCTGACCTTCTGCCCACCCCACAGCAGGCAGCTGAAGATTTCCCAAATGTTTTCAGTCGGCTTTTGGGTTAAAAACAAAACAAAAATGCACCCATTTGAATGTCGGGGGTATTTTCACACACCCCTGCCATTGGTAGTTGTAGTGACTGGCACCAAAGGTGCCCATTTTAAGATCCGCGACAAAATTGCGGTGGCTTCGGGACCTGATATATGTAATTTGCAAAGGCTGCAAGGTGGAAGAAGAATTATCCTCTTTGTTACATTCTATACTTAATCCGAGGCTTTAAATAACAGGTTGTGTTACCTTGCCTTGTCAGGTAAGTGCATTGAGGTTGCGGCTTATGACAGAGGTGTAAGCGATCATAGATGTTTTCTTCACTGCAGCAAATGGGCAGATCTCTGATTTATTTATTTTATTTTATTTTATTTATTATTCATATGTCTATGCTGCCCACTCTCCGAGGACTCTGGGCGGCTTACACCAAAGACAGTATATTAAATAGCATATTATTTATTTTTATTTATTAGTCATATTTTTTAACTTTTGTATGTCTTTGTATTTTATTTTATTTTATTTTATTTTATTTTATTTTATTTTGGCTGTTCACCGCCCTGAGTCCTTCGGGAGTAGGGCGGTATACAAATATGGATTGATTAAATAAATAAATAAATAAATAAATAAATAAATAAATAAATAAATAAATAAATAAATAAATAAATAAATAAATAAATATTTCTATGCCGCCCACTCTCCAAGGACTCTGGGCGGCTTACACCAAAGACAGTATGTTGGATAGCATATTGCCCCCAATAATCTGGGTCCTCATTTTACCCACCTCGGAAGGATGGAAGGCTGATCAACCCTGAGCCGGTGAGATTTGATCCGCTGATCTGCTGAACTAGCAGTCAGCTGAAGTAGCTGCAGTACTGCACTCTAACCACTGTGCCACCTCGGCTCATTTTTCCTTCCACTTCAGGGAATCCGACCTGCGTACAGACAGTCCTCAACTTACAACAAGTTCATTTAGTGACCGAAGCTATAACAGCATTGAAAAAAAGTGAATTATGACACTGAAAAAAGGGAATTATGACACTGGCAGCTGTTGCAGTATCCCCGTGATTAAAATTCAGACTCTGGGCAACTGACTCATACTTATGACGGTTGCAGTGTCTCGGGGTCATGTAGATGCCGTTTTGCGACCTTCTGAACAGCAAAGGTCAATGTGGGGAAACCATTCACTTAACAACCGTATGACTCCCTTAACAAATGCAACGATTTACTTAACAACTGAGGCAAGAAAAGCCGTAAAGCAGGACAAAACTCATGTATTTATTTAGAAAATTATATATTGCACATGGCAACTCAAGGTGGAGTCCCTTAACAAATGCCTCGCTTAGCAACAAAAATTTGGGGTTCAATCCAGGGGTGAAATCCAGCAAGTTCTGACAGGTTCTGGAGAACCGGTAACGGAAATTTTCAGTAGTTTGGAGAACTGGCAAATACCACCTCTGGCTGGCCCCAGAGTGGGGTGGGAATGGAGATTTTACAGTCTCCTTCCCCCAGGAGTGGGGTGGGAATGGACATTTTGCAGTATCCTTCCCCTGGAGTGGGGAGCGAATGGGGATTTTGTAGTATCCTTCCCCTGGAGTGGGTAGGAATGAAGATTTTGCAGTATCCTTCCCCCAGGAGTGGGGAGGGAATGGAGATTTTGCAGTATCCTTCCCCCAGGAGTTGCCATGCCCACCAAGCCACACCCACAGAACCAATAGTAAAAAAAATGTAGATTTACCACTGGTTCAATCATGGTCGTAAACCAAGGATTACCTGTATTTTATCAGCCTTCCAGAAGCCTCAATGCTTTCTAGCACTCCTAGGTTCAGTTTGGGCGAGCGGTAGAGAGGGTGGGGGGGGGGGGAGAAAAAGAGAATAAACCTAGAGCTGAATTAAAACTACTTCCATTTGTGCCGGACTGCCTTTTCATCCACAGTTTTGCCGTGACGGTTGTTAAAACATGACGGCGTCACGTTGTCTGATGGGATGACGTCACTCAGCCACATGACAAAACCGCATCCACCGAGAGAGTCAACCGGGAAGCCAGATTCGCTTAACAACCATGTTGCAAACTTAACAATGGCAACGATTCGCTTAAGAACTGCAGCAAGCAAGAAAGGTCGTAAAACGGAGCAAAAACTCGCTTAGCAAATGTCTCGCTCAGCTGCAAAAATTCTGGGCTCGGTGGTGGTCGTACCTCGAGGACGACCTGCATAGAAAATGGTCTTTTCGATTTGTAAATAGTTTCCTGTTTGCTCGTTGAGCGTGCAATTACGATGTGCTTTTTTAAAACATATTTGCCGTATATTAAATTAATAAGTAAATGAAAAAGTCCTTTTTTTTTTCTCCCTTCCGGGTACATCTGCTACCGTCCAGCCCTGTCCACCAGCTTCATGGCTAATCGGAAACCAGAATCTCGGACTCCTGTTTTGTCTTTGGGGCAATGAAATCATGGGCTGGCTGAGCCCTTCCCCCTCCCCTTTCCCTCCCCCCTTTTTTTTAATCTCTCTGGGAACAGCGCGGGGACTCGAACAGTTGTCCCCTCTCATTGTTGTGGTGGATGGCTTCCAAGAGAAAAAAATCAGGAGCCAGCCAGACTGCTGAGAGCACAGCATGAGAGCAAAAGGAGGACGAAGCCGGGGGATTGCAGAGATGATTTCAAGAGCCCGCAACAGCCAAACCAGCCACGGGAGCGTAAATTCGGCACATGCCGAACGCTTTTCCTACTGGAAAAGCGTTGGGCTCCATGGAACAAAACGATTGATCCGCTCGCCCTCTTTCAGCCAGGGACAGTTCGATCCCAAAGCAAAGTTTATTTGATTTACACCCTAACTTTCTACTCTGGCAAGGAGCAAATCCATTTGGAGAGGTAGATCTGGCATCCAAACCAGAGCCTTGGTAGTACAGTGGTCTAAGGCACCCTGTTTTTAAGCTAGTTATTAAGACCAGCTGCCTGCAATTACTGCAGGTTCGAATCTCGCCAAGGCTCAAGGTTGACTCAGCCTTCCATCCTTTCAAAGGTAGGTGAAATGAGGAGCCAGATTGTGGGGGCAATAAACTGACTTTGTATAAATATACAAACGTATGAAGGCTATTGCTGAGCACATTGTAAGCCGCCCTGAGTCTCCGGAGAAGGGCGGCATATAAATCAAATTTAAAAAAAAACAAAACCAGAGCGATAGCTCTGCCAGTGGGAAAACAAACTCCTGGGCATGAAAACTGGGAATGGTTGCTGATCCTGCTTTTGCTAGCTGTCGGAAGCTTCTGGCGATGACTTGGGACGAGGCACGAAGGTCACACAGCCAGCTGAGAGTTCAAACTCCCTTTTTGATGCTCCAATTTTCCCCCCAAACCAGTGGTGAAATCCAAATTTTTTTTACTACCGGTTCTTTGGGTGTGGCTGGGTGGGTGTGGTTTGGCTTGGTGGGCCTGGCAGGGGAAGGATACTGCAGAATCCCCATTTCCACCCCATTTCAGGAAAAGGATACTGCAAAATCCCCATTCCCACCCCACTCCAGGGGAAGGATACTGCAAAATCCCCATTCCCACCCCACTCTGGGGCCAGCCAGAGGTGGTACTTGCTGGTTCTCTGAACTACTCAAAATTTCCGCTGCCGGTTCTCCAGAACCTGCTGGATTTCACCCCTGTTCCAAACATTCCTACATTCTTGGCAAGTCCCATAGCAAAATGCACACACACAGAGAGACACATCGGCCTCTGGCTGTGCCCAGTCCAGCAAAACAAGGAAACGGAAATGAGTCCACGAACCAAGGAACAAACAATGAGTCCACAAAGTAGGGAACAAGGTACTGAGTCCATGAAGTCAGGAAGAAGGCACTGAGTCCACAAATAAGGAAGAAGCAAGCAGTCCTGCAAACTGCAAATATCTGTACCGGCACACCGAACTCTACCAATTCAGCGTTTGTTCCTGACAAGCGCCCCTTCCCATAGCTGTTCTGACCTAGGCTTCCTGAGACAGTAAAAAGCACATAATTAGTCCCAAAAACCCTCTTTTTATTTCAAGGGTTGTGAATTCTGTTCATTCACAGCCCGTGATGAGTCACAAACAGTTTGTAAAGAGTCCAACAGAAGTCTGCCACAGTCCTTCGGGATAAGGCTGATAAGCACCCACCTTTATCTCCCTTGACACGCTGCCAAAAACTTAGTTGGCAATTAGCTTTGCAAGGCCACATGGAGCACAGAGTCAAAACGGAGCAACCAGAACGAACAAAGTTGCTTCCTGCAAAGGCTCACATGCCTTTGCTCCTCCTTTATGTCTTATGAGAGGGGCCAATCATCTCCAAGCCTTACTCCCGAGTTGCCTCTTTTGTCTTAACTGTTCTTGCCTTCTGGCAGCTCTGCGCATGCGCGCACTAGGAACAACTCCCCCTGTTCCTCTGCCTCATCAGACTCTGGAGGCTCTGGAGTCAGCACATAACTCCCAGATGGCACTGGCCCCATCTCTGTCTCTGACGCAGAGTCCTTGTCCAAGCCTTCCCCAGACTCTAGGACTGGCCCATGTTCCTCCCCAGCCTCCTCACTGTTCGACTCTGCTGCCAGCTCCTCAGGCTGCAGGCGGACCACAACAATAGCGTCCCCTTAAATCTCAGTCCCCAGGTGTGCCTTGTGAAGAGGGGCGGGGCACTCTCCTCCCGAGTCATCGGGTTGGCCTGCGCTGTTCCCGCCTTCTTTCCACTCTCTGTGCTCAGGGATCAGGAGGGGGCGGCTGAGCTCCGTTGCTCCTCATGTCCACTGCTTGCCCTCTCTCGGCCCATTCTGCCCCCGTTCCTCCCTGCTAACAAGATATCCCAATCCTGAGGGGCCCTGGGCTGCCTCGGCCTGCTCCTCCCCACATTCCTCCGAAGCCAATGAATCCACCCCTCGATCTCCCTCGACCCCGGGACACTGCAAGCGTCATAATATGAACCAGTTGCCAAACCTCTGGATTTTTGATCAAGCAACCATGGGAAAGCTGCAAAGGTCATAACTGTGAAAAACTGTCACTTTTTTCGGTGCTGTTGTAACTTTGAACAGTCCTTAAATGAACTGTTGTAAGTCAAGGACTATCTTTACTTTATATTGTGTAGTTGTTGAGCTTTAAGCTATCCTCTGGGCTTAGGTATCTTTTTTTTCTTGCTGTTTCTTCACAGGGTACAGCTTACTATGTCCAGGTATCTGCCTACAACATGAAGGGTTGGGGAGCCCCACAAACATCAGTACCATCCTATGCCATCCCCTCAAGTAAGTATGAAGAATTGTCCCAAAAGTGCTTTTCTCAAGAGGCAGCTGGACTTTCTGGTTTTTCCTTGAAGACATTTCGCTTCTCATCCAAGAAGCTTCTTCAGCTCTGAGTGGATCGTGGGGCATGGAAGGGTTCATACTCCTTGCAGACAGCTGGTCGTTTGCGTCTTTTTAGACAGTCGTCGAGGCCACTTGGAGGTTTATCTGTGTCCTCAAGAGAAACATCTTCAAAGAAAAACAAAGGAAGTCCAGTTGCCTCTTGAAAACGCACCTTTGGGACAACCATGACCTGGATGACTTGAGAATCTCTACAGACTTCCATCAATGCCTGTTTTCAAAGAGACTCCATGATCCAAACCATGGGATAATAATTCAGAATAAAGTTTGGATGCTTAGTTAACCAGGTTTTTAAATACAGGTACACTAGTGGCCAAAATTGTGGAAACCTTTTGGGAAAAGTGTATTTTTGAGGTTGGATGGCTAATAACACTACTTTTTTGGGATGGGGGGGGAGTTTCAAGAGAATCCTATTCCACTGCTGGAATGGCCTGGGAATAGCCCAGACCTTAACCCAATTGAAAATCTATGGAGCCGACTAAAGAAACTTGTTAGTCAGAAGCGACCCAGCAATAAAACCCAGTTAATAGAAGCCATCCTTCAATCTCGGTTTCACATGATAACAGCTGCAGAACTAAAAGACTTGGTTCACTCCATGGGAAGATGTTGTAAGGCCATAATTCATGCTAAAGGTTACCCAACTAAGGATTAACTGACATGGCGATCATTTTTGTATATCTCGTTTTTCCTATGGTGATAATTTTTATATATCTCGTTTTTTCTGCGTGTTTCACTTTTCTTCTTTATACTGTAACTGGTATTCTAATAGCAAATCCTTCCTAAAAGTTATTGCATTATATTCTTGATTAAATTATCTTTCCATTGATATATAATTTTATGGTATTACTCCCCCCAAAAAAGTGTTGTTATTAGCTAGTTTTAGAAAATGCACATTTCCCAAAAGGTTTCCACAATTTTGGCCACTACTGTAGTCCTCGAACTATGACCACAATTGAGCCCAAAATTTATGTTATGCTATGGTAAGTTAAACATTTGTTAAGTGAATCATTGTGTTAAGTGAACCTGGATTTCCTATTGATTTTGCTCATCAGAAGGTCACAAAAGCTGATCACATGACCTTAGGACATGGCAACTGTCGTAAATATGAACCACTTGCCAAGCATCTGAATTTTGATCATGTGACCACGGCAGGGGTGGGTTCTAATTTTTTTTACTACCGGATCTATGGGCGTGGCTTATTTTTTGGGCATGGCTTGGTGGGGGTAATGTGACTGGGTGGGCGTGGCCAACTTTTTGGCCGCGCGATCATCAGAGGCTTTTTTTTTTTACTTTTAAAAGCATTTTTTCAGCTGAAGAGGTTGTAGAAAAAATGCTTTTAAAAGTAAAAAAAAAAAGGCTCTGATGAGATGGGCGGGGTAAGTGAGCGGTGACCAGGCCGGGGACCGGTTCGGGGGCGTGGCCAGCCAATGTTATTACCAGTTCTCCAAACTACTACAAATTTTTACTACCGGTTCTTGCGAACCGGTGCGAACCGGGAGCAACTCACCAGTGTACCATGGGGATGCTGCAACAGTGCAAGTGTGAAAAATGGTTGTAAGTCACTTTTCCCCCCACTGCTGTTAGAACTTTGAACGGTCACTAAAATGAACTGTTGTAAGTCGAGGACTACCTGTACACAATAGCTATTTGGCACATTTGTGTGGTGTCATTAAGGTTTTAAGCCATTTTCCTATGCACGCTCTTGAAACCTGGGTTTGCTACCCTGTTTCCCCGAAAATAAGACCCAACTGGAAAATAAGCCCTAGCATGATTTTTCAGGATGCTCGTAATATAAGCCCTACCCCAAAAATAAGTCCCAGTTAAGATCGTCAGCAGATGGAGGCATTTAGTACTGTATTTCCCCCCAAATAAGACCTAACCAGAAAATAAGCCCTAATGTGTCTTTTGGAGCAAAAATTAATATAAGACCCGGTCTTATTTTGGGGGAAACACAGTATCTATCTCAACTGCTTCCAGGGTCAAAGGGCAATGGTTTTACGAAAACTCCCAACAAAGCCAACATTTTGAATTTGCGTCTGATGGATTGAGCCTTCCAAATTGTCGTAGGCAACTATTGAATCATAGCCAAGATTAGCAAATGAATTATTGTTGGCTTTCAAAAAAAAAAAACCCTGCTTTAAATTTTTTAGAAAAACCAGAAGAATTCAATGTCTGCTCCATAAAAACTCAAGGCATCTCCTTGGGTGTTTTTAAAATACCTAAAAATAGCGCTCGGCTTCAGCCAAAAATTAATGGAGCTGAACTTTCCATGGAAAACTATGGCACGGGGGAGTTTGTAAACCCAAATAATGTAAAGCTAGTGTAACTCACACATTTGTCCGTGCTGTTCAATAGCTGGGCCACCTCGTCACTAAGAAGCACAAGGAAAAGGTCTTATAGCAGGGGTGAAATGCTCCCAGTTCGCCCGATCCGGTAGCGATGGCGGCGGGTGGTTCGGAGAACCGGTAGCAAAAATCCCTGCACCCCCCCCCCCCATGCCCAGCTGAGCTGTGCAATCATCAGAGGCTTTTTTATTTTACTTTTAAAAGCATTTTTTCTACAACCACTTCCGATGAAAAAATGCTTTTAAAAGTTAAAAAAAAAGCCTCTGACCATCACACGGCTCAGCTGGGATCGTCAGAGGCTTTTCAAAGCATTTTTTTCTGCAACCTCTTGGCTGAAGAGGTGGTAAAAAAAAATGCTTTGAAAAGTCTCTGACGATCCCAGCTGAGTTGCCTGATGGGCAGAGAGGCATTTTAAAAAAAAGCCTCTCTGACGATCCCAGCTGAGATACCTGATCGGCAGAGGCTTTTCAAAGCATTAGAAAAAATGCTTTGAAAAGTTTTTTAAAAAAAAGTTGGCCATGCCCACCCAGTCACATTACCCCCCCCCAAGCCACGCCCACAGAACCGGTAGTAGCAAATTTTACATTTCACCCCTGTCTTATAGGTGTTAGTTGTCTAGGTGAATTTTACCTTTCTCATTTGGGGCTGAAGGACCTTCGGTCCAGTGAAGGATGGCCCAAAGAATTTGCTCGGAAAACAGTGAAACAAACAGCAAAGGAGATGACCTCACTTATAGTGATCTGTCATCCCTTGATGGTGGCACCATCCTTGCAAATTATTATCCCCATTGGTGGTTACTACCGTTGGGTTATTGTGTCTGTATTGACCAAGTTGAATTGCATTATCTATGAACTAGAGCAGTGATGGGTAACCTTTTTGCCATCACGTGCCAGGAGCGGAGGGGGGTTGCGAGCATGCCTGCCCACACCCATAGTTCTATGCGCCCTGCCCCCATGCATGCACACGCGACCCCCCCATCCCCCTGCTCCTCCCACTCCTGGCACGCGATAGCACGGTAGGCTCGTTTTTTGCTCTTCCCAGCCTCCAGAGCCTTTCTAGGAGTCTGGGGAGGGCAAAAACAGCCTTCCCCAACCCCTGGAGGCCCTCCAGAAACTGAAAATGGCCTGTTTGCCAACGTTTTGGTCCTATGCGTGCCAGAGTTGAGCTCGCTTGCCCACCGATATGGCTACGCGTGCCACCTGTGGCACACATGCCACAGGTTCACCATCACAGAATTAGAGTAAAGCCCGGTACCCATAGAGGAGAATATTTGTAGCTCAGGGTTGAATTGTGTGGTCCTTGGAGATATTTCATGACCCAACTAGGTAACATCAATGCTAGAAGGATGTTGGATTTGCAAAGCGAAGGAAGGAGGGAAGGAGGAGGTGGAGGAGAACTGTGGGGTCTTTGGTGCTCTCTGAGCTTGGTGGTTTTCTGGCAAACATTTCATGACCCAACTAGGTAACATCATCAGTGCTAGAAGGACGTCGGGTTTGCAGAGTGGAGGAAAGAGAGGAAGAAGAGGAGGAAGTGGAGGAGAACTGTGGGGTCCTTGCTGAAAGTTGATGTTTTTTTTGCAAATGTTTCATGATCCAACTAGGTAGCATCATCAATGCTAGAAGGATGTCAGATTTGCAAAGTGGAGGAGGGAGAGGAGGAAAAGGTGGAGGAGAACAGTAGTACCCTCTGAGCTTGGTGGTTTTCTTGCAGACGTTTCATTACCAAACTAGGTAATACCATCAGTGCAAGCACGGATAATGCACTCTTGCCACTAACCTGTTTCATCCTACACCCACTCCAGATTGGAGAGAATACGACGGGAGGGCTCCACGTCAGAGAGGACAAGCCGAAGCTCTGGACCACCTCCTTAACCAGGTGAAGATGGTGCACCAACATTGCGTGTGTCACGGTGAGTCCCGTCGCGTGTCTAAAGACAGTTTGGGGCTCCGGCGGAGGAAAGTATTCCAAGCATTCTGAATGGAGGCCAATGTTGGACGTTTGCAACCAGCTTCGGTATGCGGATGCCGAACATGGCTAGTCGATGCCAATCCAAACAAATAACTTTTAATGTAATTGAATTCAGCTCTTAAGGGTTCTATTATTATTCTCCCTGGGCTGCTTGTAAACATCGGGAGCGTCAAGGGAGAACCGGGCAAGAGGTAGCAGAGGGAGGGGAAAAAGTGGGGAAGGAAATGAGTTGATAGAGGGAGAAGGAAAACAACCATCAAATCCATTGAGGGCGAAACTCAATTGAGTTTGGAAGCTGTTTGAGATGCTCTGGCTCCTTGCAGAGAAGAAGCTTTTTCTTCTTTCAGCAGTCTCTATACCTGAATCGGCAATTAAATACGTTTGATCAGAGCTAAGACATTAAAGGCAGTGCTGAAATCCAATTTTCTTTTACTACCGGTTCTGTGGGCATGGCTTGGTAGGTGTAGTGTGGCTTGATGGGCATGGCAAGGGAAGAATACTGCAAAATCCCCATTCCCATCCCACTCCAGGGGAAGGATACTGCAAAATCCCCATTCTCACCCCACTCCAGGGGAAGGATACTGCAAATTCCCTATTCCCTCCCCACTCCTGGGGGAAGGATACTGCAAATTCCCCATTCCCACCCCACTCCAGGGGAAGGATACTGCAAAATCCCCATTCCCACCTCACTCCAGGGGAAGGATACTGCAAAATTAATTTTGCTTTCTAGTTAAATCATGTCCAGACTGTTGAGATAACAAAAAAACATTTAAATCTATTGTGGGTCATTCTTTCCAAACTATCCAGGTAGCAGTGGGCAAGGAAAAAAGTTCCTTTGTGGACGAACCATCCTGACAGCTTATGGCATTTTCCAGATATTTAACATTTCACACAGTCCCAGCTCTGACAGTGGTTAAAGGACCCCATGCAAAAAAAGAGGAGAAGACACTGAGCTTGTCGATCGAAAGGTCGGCAGTTCAGCGGTTCAAATCCCTAGTGCCACGTAATGGGGTGAGCTCCCGTTACTTGTCCCAGCTTCTGCCAACCTAGCAGTTCGAAAGCCCGTAAAAAACGCAAGTAGAAAAATAGGGACCACCTTTGGTGAGAACATAACACCGTTCCGTGCGCCTTTGGCATTGAGTAATGCCGGCCACATGACCACGGAGACGTCTTTGGACAGCGTTGGCTCTTCGGCTTTGAAACGGAGATGAGCACCGCCCCCTAGAGTCGGGAACGACTAGCACGAATGTGTGAGGAGAACCTTTACCTTTACCTAAAATACAAGAATAACGGAAAAGTAAATCTCACGGCCAATAGGGTGACTTCTTGAGAAGCGTAGGATCCAATCTTAACAGCTTCCCCGCTGTTTGACCGAATAGAATAGATTAGATCTAAGAAAGTCAGATCCAATTATTTTCCCCCCCCTCCCCTTTCCTCTGAATTTCATTTGGAACAAGTGGGACCAGGTTTCCCTATCTTTTCATTTTCTGCTGCTTTAAATTAGAATAATTATGACATCCCTCACAGGGTTATTAAGATGAAGACAATAAGCAACATAAGGTACAATTAAAGTAATATAGCCGTTTTAAATCGTTCTTCACCATTCTTATCTTACACCCATATGTCATTGTGCTGAAAACCGGTTGTCACTTGCCTGTTAGCACACAAATGTTTGAAGAGCACAAAACTTAGCTGTAGAAACAATGTTAGAACCTAGAAAGAGATCCATAAATAGCAGAGAGGGACAAAAAGATTAAGCTGGAAAGCCACAAGACTTCTGCAGAAGTGAGGCATGGAAGAAATACAGATTTTAGAAGAGCTGAAAAGGAAAGTAACAAAAACGAAAGGCTAAAGTGAGAAGATGCTGAATGATCACCACCAGATGATTTGTTAGGAAGACAGAGGATCCTACTAAAGGGAGCAACAAGCAATGGATTTCAGATCTTGGTTTTAACCCAGTAGCCTAAAGATAAATAATCAGCTACTCTGAAAGAGGGAGTCAAGCTCTTCTCCAAAGCACCTGAGGGCAGGACAAGAAGCAACGGGTGGAAACTAATCAAGGAGAGAAGCAACCTAGAACTAAGGAGAAATTTCCTGGCAGTTGGAACAATTGATCAGTGGAACAACTTCCCTCCAGAAGTTGTGAATGCTCCAACACTGGAATTTTTCAAGAAGATGTTGGATAACAATTTGTCTGAAGTGGTGTAGGGCTTCCTGCCTAAGCAGGGGGTTGGACTAGAAGACCTCCAAGGTCCCTTCCAACTTCTGTTATTCTAAATGTGAGAATGCATGAAAGCGGTGGTAGCAAACCTATGACATGCATGTCAAAAGTGACAGATCACAAAGTTTTTGGTCATGCCAGTGTTCAGCAACATCCGACAACAGCTCTTCTTGAAAACATGACCTATTATGTGTGATTTTCGGAGGCCACACTAGAATGAGGTACAGTATGTTCTCGTTCAGCCTCTGGACTCTCCAAAAACGAGGTGGTTTTACTCATATTTCATTTTTGTAATTATTTGGGATTTCTTTAAACAATATATAACATTAGACACATTTTTGTGGTTAGTTGCGAAGTCGTGTCCGACCCATCACGACCCCATGGGCAACGTTCCTCCAGGCCTTCCTGTCCTCTACCATCCTCTGGAGTCCATTTAAGCTTCAGTGACTCCATCCAGCCACCTCGTTCTCTGCCGTCCCCTTCTTCTTTTTCCCTCAATCATTCCCAGCATTAGGCTCTTCTCCAGTGAGTCCTTCCTTCTCATTAGGTGGCCAAAGTATTTTGAATTTCCTCTTCAGGATCTGGCCTTCTAAAGAGCAGTCAGGGTTGATCTCCTCTAGGACTGACTGGTTTGATCGCCTTGCAGTCCAAGGGACTCGCAGAAGTCTTCTCCAGCACCAGAGTTCAAAGGCCTCCATTCTTTGGCGCTCAGCCTTCCTTATGGTCCAACTTTCACAGTCATACATTGCAACTGGGAAAACCATCGCCTTGACTATACGCATTTTTGTTGGCGGGGTGATGTTTCTGCTGTTTAGTATGCTGTCTAGATTTGCCATAGCTTTCCTCCCCAGGAGCAAGCGTCTTTTAATTTCTTGGCTGCAGTCCCCATCTGCGGTGATCTTGGAGCCCAATTACACACATAGAAACACAGAAAATTGATGGCAGAAAAAGACCTCATGGTCCATCGACTCTGCCATATGAGGATTTTGTTTTTTTAAAAAAAATAATTTAACTTTTTAATTTATGTGAGATGATGGATTTCTAAAATCACTTTTGAACTTCCCTCCTGTCAGTTTGAACTTGTGCCCCCGTATTTTTTTTTATTTTTGCTTAATAATAAAAATACTGCCTTCTAAAACCTTATTCACACCCTTAATATATTTAAAAGTTTCAATCATGCCCCCTTCTTTTCCTTTGGTCCTCCAGGCTCTGCATATTCAGTTCCTCCAATTTCTCGTAATATAGTAGTGGCCAAAATTGTGGAAACCTTTTGAGAAAAGTATATTTTTGAGGTTTGATGGCTAATAACACCACTTTTTTTGGGAGGGGAAGTATCAAGATAATCCTATTCCACTGCTGGAATGGCCTGGGAATAGCCCAGACCTTAATCCAATTGAAAATCTATGGAGCCGACTAAAGAAACTTGTTAGTCAGAAGCAACCCAGCAATAAAACCCAGTTAATAGAAGCAATCCTTCAATCTTGGTTTCACATTAGAACAGCTGCAGAACTGAAAGACTTGGTTCACTCCATGGGAAGACGTTGTAAGGCCATCATTCATGCTGAAAGTTACCCAACTAAGTATTCACTGACATGGGGATCATTTTTGTATATCTTGTTTTTTCCACCTGTTTCACTTTTCTTCTTTATACCGTAACTGCTATTCTAATAGCAAATCCTTCCTAAAAATGATTGCATGACATTCTTGATTCAATTATCTTTCCATTGATATATAATTTTATGGTACTACTCAGGGGTAGGTTCTACTTACCTTTACTACTGGTTCGCAGTGGGGCCGCGTGCAGGCACTTGCTTTGCTCGCACACACAAGCGCTCTTCTCCGCATGTGCAGAAGCTTTCTGATGATGTCCAGGTTGGTGGGCGGAGCCTCCCGCTGGTTTTACTACCGGTTCTATAGAACCGGTCCGAACCGGAGGCAACCCACCACTGGTACTACTCCAAAAAAAAAAAAAAAAGTGGTGTTATTAGCTAGTTTTAGAAAATACACTTTTCCCAAAAGGTTTCCACAGTACTGTATCTTCATGTGAAGATAACCAGACTTTACACACATGGGACTATATATTTTTTTTCCCAAACACATTAATATGTGAAGAACTGTTCCTTTTCTGTTTGAAGGGTTGGGGCTGACAAGCCAGCAGAACCAACTTTATTTTCAGTGGTGACATCCAACTTTTTAAACTACTGGTTCTGTGGGCGTGTCTTGGTGGACGTGGTGTGGCTCGGTGGGCATGTCTTGGTGGGCATGGCAGGGGAAGGATTTTGCAAAATCCCCATTCTCTCCCCATTCCTGGGGGAAGGATTTTTTTTTAAAATTTGATTTATATGCCGCCCTTCTCCGGAGACTCAGGGCGGCTTACAGTGCGTTAAGCAATAGCCTTCATACTTTTGTATATATTATACAAAGTCAGCTTATTGCCCCCACAAACTGGGTCCTCAATTTACAAACCGTAGAAAGGATGGAAGGCTGAGTCAACCTTGAGCCTGGCAAGATTCGAACTTACTTTAATTGCAGACAGCTGGTGTTAAATTACAGTGCTTTAGTCTGCAGAGCTATCCAGGCTCCCTTTTATTGCAAAATCCCCATTCTCTCCCCATTCCTGGGGGAAGGATATTGCAAAATCCCCATTCCCATCCCATCCTGAGGGAAGGATATTGCAAAATCCCCATTCTCCCCCCATTCCTGGGGGAAGGATATTGCAAAATCCCCATTCCCACCCCACTCCTGGGGGAAGGATATTGCAAAATCCCCATTCCCACCCCACTCCTGGGGGAAGGATATTGCAAAATCTCCATTCCCACCCCACTCTGGGACCAGCCAGAGGTGGTATTTGTGGGTTCTCCGAACTACTCAAAATTTCCGCTACCGGTTCTCCAGAACCTGTCAGAACCTGCTGGATTTCACCCCTGAGTATTATACCCTAATTTTTGACAGGCCAAGCCAAACCCAAAAGTTTGCCATCGCTGCACTAAAAGACTTTTATTGAGATCACTTGAAATTACATCATTTATGTCTTTGGTGCCTTTCGCTGATTCGGTTTAAGCCTCTGCAGGTTCCTTTGGGCCTTGTGCATTGAATGTAGCTAGAATTAAGAAGGAAAGGGGGGGGGGAGAAAAGAAATAACAATAGAAGTTGGATATTTAATCATTTCTACTCCTTTGATTTTCAGAGCCATGTAAGAATCAGCCCCAGAGTAGAAAACACTCCGTCTCCAAAAGTCTAAAGTACCTCTTCCATCCTAGTAGCAAATTTTTAAAGACACTGAAAAGGTAAGAAGATTTGGGGAGTGGGGGCTCCCCAGAACATAGGATTTTGTATCTGCTCCCATGGCTATTAAACTTTCTACCTTTTTATTCCATCAAGCGGGCTTGGCCTAATCTCTTCCCTTTTTAAATATGTAAATTTTAATCTGTTTTTAAATTATTGGGGTATTTTAATTTGTCTGGGCCAAATAATTTAATTTGATTTTATCGGGTTTTTAAATTTTGTGTATTTATGTATTTTATTGTTGGCTGTTCACCGCCCTGAGTCCTTCGGGAGTAGGGCGGTATACAAATCAAATAAACTAACTAAACTAACTAACTAACTACTGAGTCTTTTGCTTTAGTATTGTTGTGGCCCGCTAGCATCAGCATCAGCTCAACATCAAAGGTTGTTTTTTTAAAAAAAAAAAAATTGGTGATTGTAAGCTTGTACAGGAGCACCAGAACAATATTGGAATTATATTAAAAATTCTTTGAGAGCAGTGCACCCTATCTCCTCAGATGCCCCCCCCACACACACACACAAAAAAACCCCTATTTATTTATTTATTTTATTTATTTTATTATATTTCTATACCGCCCTTCTCCTGCGGGACTCAGGGAGGTGTACAGCCAGAATAAAACATAGCATATAAAATTTAAAAACATTTTTAAAAAATTAAATAATTTTGGCCCGAATTTAAAACAACCTATAAGCTAGTCCTTGACTTATGACCACAATTGAGCCAGTGGTGGGTTTCAATTTTTTTTACTACCGGTTCTGTGGGTGTGGCTTAGTGGATGTGGCATGGCTTGGTGGGCGTGGCTTGGTGGGCATGGCAGGGGAAGGATACTGTAAAATCTCCATTTCCACTCCACTCCAGGGAAAGGATACTGCAAAATTCCCATTCCCTCCCCACTCCAGGGGAAGGATACTGTAAAATCTCCATTCCCTCCCCACTCCAGGGGAAGGATACTGTAAAATCTCCATTCCCTCCCCACTCCAGGGGAAGGATACTGTAAAATCTCTATTTCCACCCCACTCCAGGGAAAGGATACTGCAAAATTCCCATTTCCTCCCCATTCCAGGGGAAGGATACTGTAAAATCTCCATTTCCACCCCACTCCAGGGAAAGGATACTGTAAAATCTCCATTTCCTCCCCACTCCAGTTAGTTTGTTTATTAGTGTGAAGATTTGCTCATCTGAGTTGGTGCCTCACAGAGACTCCTTGCCAAGTATTTCATTGTACAGCGTTGCGTTTGGAAGATATCGGCCTGGCAACTATCCAAGGACTGATAAGGCCTGTGGTTGCAGTTCACCTTTAAAAGACTGTTTGCCGGATGTGAATGCTAGGAATTCACATTAACCAAATAAAAAGGGATTTTTTTTCAGGACAGGAATCTGTTTCATGATTTGGTGAAGCCTAGGTCAGAACAAGTATTTCCCAGACACTCCAAGAAGAAGGGGAAAGGTTGGGAGTAGGTCTCTCTCCATCATCCATGGTGAGAGAATCCTTCATAAATGTTTTCCCTCTTCCGGAAGGATCTTTTGATTCCCATAATAGGTCCCAAAGTTGATGAAGTTAGCAGAGATAACCAAATCGACTGCTTTGATTAAAGAAAAGAGTGGAATTAATTTTGTTTCTGCTTGGAAACCATTTCTGGACTTTGTGCTCGAGGTGGTGGAAAAAATGAAAACTTTGGGTTTGGGTTTAGCGGATTAGATAGGTTTGTTGTTCTAGAAATGACTTGTACGTATTATTAAGCAAAAGTAAAAAGTTGAGGTTGTATATCATGACCTTATTCTACTGCATTAAAAAGAGTCGGGAGTCTTTTTCTTTTTCCCTTTTACTCAAAGGAGTTTTTTTTTTCCCAAAAGGCGACTCCTTTGCTCTTCCTTGAAGACCTTTCGCTTCTCATCCAAGAAGCTTCTTCATCTCTGACTGAATGGTGGCAAAGGGAAGGATTTATATTCCTTGCAGTCCACTGGTCATTAACCAGATAGAAAGGAATATAAATCTTTCTATTCTTCACCATTCAGTCAGAACTGAAGAAGCTTCTTGGATGAGAAGCAAAACTTCTTCAAGGAAAAACAAAGAAAGTCCAGTTACTTCTTGAAAGAAAAGAAAAAGCACCTTTGTACAACCATGACCTGGATGACCGAGAACCTCCATAGACATTTTCACTTTTACCTTCTTCTCCTTCTTCTCTTCCTCCTCTTCTTCTTCCTCCTCTTCCTTGCAAAATAGGAGGCAGGATCTTCTTCTTCTTCTTCTTCTTCTTCTTCTTCTTCTTCTTCTTCTTCTTCTTCTTCTTCTTCTTCTTCTTCTTCTTCTTCTTCTTCTTCTTCTTTTCTCCTCCTCCTTCCTCTTCCTCCTCCTCCTCTTCTTCTTCTTCTCCTCCTCCTCCCTCTCCTCCTCCTCCTCCTCCTCCTCCTCCTCCTCTCTCTTCTTCTTCTTCTTCTTCTTCTTCTTCTTCTTCTTCTTCTTCTTCTTCTTCTTCTTCTTCATCTTCATCTCCTTTCTCCTCTCTCCTCCTCTTCCTCCTCCTCCTCCTCCTCCTCCTCCTCTCTCTTCTTCTTCTTCTTCTTCTTCTTCTTCTTCTTCTTCTTCTTCTTCTTCTTCTTCTTCTTCTTCTTCTTCTTCTTCTTCTTCCTCCTCCTCCTCCTCGTCTTCCTCCTCCTCTTCTTCTTCTCGTCCTCCTCCTCCTCCTTCTTCCTTCTCCTCCCCTGCTTTCCTACTATTTTCATTTTTCTATATTGTCTATTTTGATAAAAATTTGTGACCAAAAAAACCCCCGACCCAATATTTTCTCTCTTCCCAGGGGTCTCTATCTCGCCTCCATATTCTACAAGGATGACAATATTCTGGTGACCCCCGAAGACCAGGTCCCTGTGGTGGAGATCGACGACACCTATTCCTGCTTGCTTATGCAGGATTTCCTTTGGTTCACCAAGGTGACCCCTTTTTAACGTTAACAATTTTAGAACTGCATGCCACTAGATCACTAAATGCTTTACGGCACAGCTTCCCAAGCGGAAGACTCTGTCATTAGACTGATCTGTATTTGGAACCAGATTTTCCTGCTTCAATTAACATCTGGAGACGTGAAGTATCTTTTTTCCCCACCCACCCTGGCCTTAGGCACTGTTCACCTAAAGTAGCTCCATACGTTAATTAAGGCTGTTGACTTGATATGATGCCTTGCTTGATATAATGACTGTTTTTAGGAGGTTTTAATTTGCTGTTCTTGAGGGATAGAATCAAGATCACAACTAGTGTTAATGGCACTTTATAATGCCTTGGTAAGACCACACTTGGAATCCTGCATCCAGTTTTGGTTGCTACGATGTAAAAAAAAAAAAAAGATGTGGAGACTCTGGGAAGAGTGCAGAGAAGAGCAACCAAGAGGATTAGGGGACCAGAGGCTAAAACATATGAAAAACGGTTGCAGGAACTGGGTATGTCTAGTTTGATGAAAAGAAGGACTAGGGGAGACATGATAGCAGTCTTCCAATATCTCAGGGGCTGCCACAAAGAAGAGGGAGTCAAAGGACCAGAAGGCAGGACAAGAAGCAACGGGTGGAAACTAATCAAAGAGAGAAGCAACCTAGAAGTAAGGAGAAATTGTCTGATAGTTAGGAACCATTAATCCGTGGAACAATTTGCTTCTAGAAGTTGTGTGTGCTCCAACATGGGAGGTTTTTAAGAAGAGATTGGACAACCATTTGCCTAAAATGGTACAGGGCTGTGATGGCGAACCTGTGGCATGCGTGTCAGAGATGGCACGCAGAGCCCTTTCTGTGGGAAGAGCGCCAGCTGCTCTTCTGGTTTCTGGCGCGCATCTCTGTGGGCACGCACACCTGCCGGCTGGTCTTCGTGGGCGCCAAAGCACCAGAAAACAGCCCAAAAAAACAGCCATAAGCAGCCAAAAAACAGGCATGTGTGCGCTGGCCAGCTGGTGTTCAGATTTCCGGTGCATGCAAAGACCAGTGCGGGGGATTATGGGAGCGACGGGGCGCTCCCATGTGACTCCTCTCCTGCGCGAGCTGCATTGGCTTCCGGTGGACTTCCGGGTGCGCTTCAAGGTGTTGGTGATCACCTTTAAAGCGCTCCATGGCTTAGGGCCAGGGTACTTATGGGACCGCCTTCTGCCACCAATAGCCTCCCACCGGCCGGTTCGCTCCCACAGAGAGGGCCTCCTCAGGGTGCCGTCGGCCAGACAATGCCGGCTGGCAACCCCCAGGAGGAGAACCTTCTCTGTGGTGGCACCTACCCTATGGAACAATCTACCCCCAGAGATACGAGTGATCTCCGACCTCTGGATTTTTCGTCGGGCCCTAAAAACTTATTTTTTTCAGTTAGCCGGTCTGTCTTGATTTTAGGGTTAGTTTTAAAATTTTAATATTGATTTTAAATTGACAAGTTTTAAATTATGGGCCAAATTTATAAATTATTTTAACTCTATTTTTAACTGTAATGTTATGTATAGATGTTTTTATTTTGGCTGTTCACCACCCTGAGTCCGAAAGGAGAAGGGCGGTATAGAAATTTGAATAATAAATAAATAAATAAATAATAAATTGCGTGCATGCACTTGCTGGAAATCTGAAAACCAGCTGGCTGGCACACATATGAGCACCAGTCAGCTGGTTTTCAAGTTTCCGGCGCGCGCACATGCACACACATGCATGTACATTCTGGTTTGGGCACTCGGTGCCGAAAAGGTTCGCCATCACTGGTATAGGGTTTCCTGCCCAAGCAGGCAGTTGGACTATAAGACCTCTAAGGTCCCTTCCAACTCTGTCATTGTGTCATTCTGTTAAGTGTTTAGTGGTGGAAGTGCATCCTCTTCATCTGAAGAGGTAGAGTGAAGTGTCCCACCTGCCAAAATAGCCTCTTTTAAATCTTCCTATTGATACGGCTTTTTTTTTTTTAAAGCATCTTCTTTGGAGAAAAAAATGAGACAGGGGATTTTTTTTTTCTTTTTTGAAAGAGTTGATCTCGCTTCGTGAGAGACATCAAACTTGGGAGCAGAGCCCGAGAATCTTAGCTTGATTTGTGCAACCGCCTTTGCTGTGTTTGCTGCAGGTGTCGTGCATGTGGGATGAAATCTTGTGGCTGCGACAGTGCGTCACCGTCTCCCAGTCTTCCTGTTCCTGCGTTCTCCAAACACGTTTCAAGATGCTGCTGGCCATCTCACAAATGCAGGTAGAAACGGCATCTTTCCGATACAGCTGTTCCAAAGGTTTTAGGACACACCTGTTCATACAGGTTGTCCTTGACCGATGAGCATAATTGGGATCAGAATTTCCATTGTTAAGCAAGGCGATGATTAGTATAGTATGGCATGGCATGGCATGGCATGGCATGGCATGGCATAGAATAGAAAATGGAATGGAATACAATAGAATACAATAGAATATGGAAAAGGAATGGGAATAGAATAGAATAGAATAGAATAGAATAGAATAGAATAGAATAGAATAGAATAGAATAGAATAGAATAGAATAGAATAGAATAGAATAGAATTCTTTATTGGCCAAGTGTGATTGGACACACAAGGAATTTGTCTTTGGTGCATATGCTCTCGGTGTACATAAAAAGACAAGATACATTCATCAAGAATCATAGAATAGAATAGAATAGAATAGAATAGAATAGAATAGAATAGAATAGAATAGAATAGAATAGAATAGAATAGAATGTTACAAATGTGCAAAATATTGTAAATGAAGAAAATTAAAAATAAAGGGACGATAAAGATAATGATAATAAAGGATGGGAAAAATGGGGAATGTATATAGTAGAAAGTAAGAGGAACGAAACTGATATGTAAAAAGAAACGCATATCATGTGCTTGTGTTTTGTGTGCTGTGTTGTGTTGTGTTGTTGTAAAGCCAATAATTTTTTTTTTAAAAAGAATAGAATAGAATAGAATAGAATAGAATAGAATAGAATAGAATAGTCTTTATTGGCCAAGTGTGATTGGACACACAAGGAATTTGGTGCATATGCTCTCAGTGTACATAAAGAAAAAATAAAATACATAGCAATAGCAATAACACTTAGATATACTGCTTCATAGTGCATTTTACAGCCCTCTCTAAGCAGTTTACAGAGTAAGCATATTGCCCCAAACCATCTGGGTCCTCATTTTATCGACCTCGGAAGGATGGAAGGCTGAGTCAACTTCGAGCCGATCAGGATTGAACTACTGATAGTGGGAAGAGTTAGCCTGCAATATTGCATTCTAACTACTGTGCCACCAGGGCTCCTAATAGCTATAGCACTTAGACTTACATATTGCTTCACAGTGCTTTACAGCCCTCTCTTAGCAGTTTACAGAGTCAGCCTCTTGCCCCCAACAATCTGGGTCCTCATTTTACCCACCTCGGAAGGATGGAAGGCTGAGTCAACCTTGAGCCTGGTGAGATTTGAACTGCCAAACTGCAGCAGATCACCTGTAACTTCGAACAGTCACTAAATGAGTGGTTCTAAATCGAGGGCTACCTATAAATAGTGAAGAATTGTGTTATTTCCTTACCAAGGAAAAGAGGATCATCCACGTAGATCAGGGGTCTGCAACCTTAAACAATCAAAGAGCCATTTGGACCCGTTTCCCACAGAAAAGAAATCACCGGGAGCCACAAAACCTGGGTGGGCGTGGCCAACTCGACATCACTCACTCCCACCCAGTCACATGACCACCACCCCCAGCCACGCTTATCTAGGTTTTGTGCCTCCTGGTGTTACTTTAGGTAATCGCCCGTACCTTCTTAGGCCAGGCGAGGAGTGACTGGGAGGGAAGGGCGAGGGGTGGGGCCAGCCAGTGGTGGGTTCAGCGGACAGGGAGCCACAGCAGGGGGAGCGAAAGAGCCACATGTGGCTCTGGAGCCTCACCTGACCTAGATAATTGCATGCCCAACTGCATTGTGTGCCTGCATGCCTGTAGTAGATACACCATCTGAGGCTCTGTTTCCTCTCTCGTTTGCTATGTAGGGTCTGCTAGGAATCCAAGACCTGGGTCAGGTGTTTTTTGAACCCATCAAAGACAAGCAAGGGAACATTTTGGTGGTCACCCTAAAAGAAGTGAAGACCAACCAAACCTTTGAGAGCGTTCGCTGGGTCCCTCTCTCCAAGCTGCAGACCAGTCGCAAGTCAATCTCTTCCCCTGAAGAACCTACGGCTCTGGATGTCCTTCTTATGACCATGCAGGTAACTCATCGTGCCTTCTTGGCAGAGAAGACAAAGTTCTGTTGCGGCCTGCCAGTGGAGTTGGCAGCAGAGTCAGACAATGAGGAGGTTGGGGAGGAACTTGGGCCAGTCCTGGGGGCTGGGAAAAGCTCCGACGAGGGCTCTGAGTTGGAGGCAGAGAGGGAGATAGACAGCAGTGAGGCAGAGGAACAGCTGGAGCCCGTTCCCAGTGTGCGCATGTGCAGAGCTGCCAGGAGACAAGAACAATTAAGAAAGCAGGGTCGACTCGGGAGTAAGGCCACACCTTGGAGATGATTGTCCCCTCCCATAGGACATAAAAGAGGGGTGAACGGGATGTCGGCTTTTGTAGGAAGCAATTAGTTCATTTGGTCGATTCAAGATTGGAAAGTTCTGTTCGTGACTCTAATAGAATCTGTGCCAAGTTTGGCCTTGCCCTGCGCTTGGAAATTGGTTCTCTGGCAGCGTTCCACGTGAGATACGGTGGGTGTTGATCAACATTCCTCTGAAAGACTGTTTGCCAAAGCCTTGTCGACTGTGAATGACCGTAATTTACAGTCGTTTAAATAAAAGATGTTTGGTAGGAATTAAGACTTTGCTTCATGCTTTCTAAGGAAGCCTAGGTCAGAACAAGTTCTCCTTCAGTTATGGAGGAAAAAAATCACTTTTAATGTGGCATTTTCTCAACCTTGGCAGCTTTTAAGATGGGTGGACTTTACAACCCAGAATTCCACAGGCAGCAAGGCTGGGGAATTCTAGGAGTTGAATTCCATCCATCTTAAAGCTGGATGCGGGTTGGAACCAGGAAACGGTAGACAAAACTAATTCAGTTGAACCAGTAGTAGGTTGCAAAACCCGTCGTCGCTACCGGTTTGCTCCTGCGCTCGCACACGCATGTGCAGAAGCGTCCAGCGCGGATGGGCGGAGCCTCTCGCCGCCACCGCTACCGGTTCGCCAATCCGGATAGAACCGGTAGCAACCCACTACTGAGCTGAACCTATAATTCAAACCACATAGTTGTTAGGCGAATCCAGGTTAAGCTATTCAGCTGCAGTTTGATCTGCTTCTTATTTAAACTCCCTGTCTTTTAACCCTGGGCTGTTTTCTTTACTTATTTAGATAGTTCTTGTTCAAGTTTTATTATTTTTTATAAATAACTCAAGGTGACCAGCATGCCTATAATTCCTCCTTCCTCCTATTTTCCCCACGACAATACTGTCTTTCATGCCTAAGGCGGGACTAGAACTCACCGTCTCCTGGTGTTTGGCCCAAAGTCACCCACAAGTTTTCATGCCTAAGGCGGGACTAGAACTCACCGTCTCCTGGTGATTAACTCAAAGTCATCCAGCTGGCTTTCATCCTAAGGCGGGACTAGAACTCACCATCTCTGGTGATTGGCCCAAAGTCACCCACAAGCTTTCATGCCTAAGGCGGGACTAGAACTCACCGTCTCCTGGTGATTGGCCCAAAGTCATCCACAAGTTTTCATGCCTAAGGCAGGACTAGAACTCACCCTCTCCTGGTAATTAACTCAAAGTCATCCAGCTGGCTTTCATCCTAAGGCGGGACTAGAACTCACCGTCTCCTGGTGATTGGCCCAAAGTCACCCAGCTGGCTTTCATACCTAAGGCAAGACTAGAACTCACCGTCTCCTGGTGATTGGCCCAAAGTCACCCACAAGCTTTCATGCCTAAGGCGGGACTAGAACTCACCGTCTCCTGGTGATTGGCCCAAAGTCACCCACAAATTTTCATGCCTAAGGCGGGACTAGAACTCACCGTCTCCTGGTGATTAACTCAAAGTCATCCAGCTGGCTTTCATCCTAAGGCGGGACTAGAACTCACTGTCTCCTGGTGATTGGCCCAAAGTCACCCAGCAGGCTTTCTTGCCTAACACAAGACTAGAACTCACCATCACCTGGTTTCTAACCTATTGCCTGATAGTTATGTTTTTCCTGTTTCTTGGATTCCATAGATTTTTTTTTTCCTGCAGGACTTACTGGGGGAGAACAGGCTACCCTCTCAATGGCCATTTCTTAATATTTCGTTTTCAGGAGAAGCTAGCTTACCACCAGAACAGCAGCCAATCGCTTCCCCCTGGACTTTACCTGGGTTACCTGAAGCTCTGCAGTGCAGTTGACCAGATCCGAGTGTTGGTGCCTGAACAATTACCGAACATCTTGTGCCATGTGAAAATTCGGAGCAATTCCAACGTATCTAGGTAGGATATTCGAATGGGAACTGATCTTTGCTGGCCACCCTTGCAAATTGCAGTTCTACATCCGTAGCCAAATCAGGGTGAGCTGAGATTCTTTTGCAGGTTTCATCTCCTGATTAAAAATTTGCAAACAGAGGAGAGAGGCCTAAGGCAAAGTTAGAGAAACTGGGCTAACGGTTTGCCTGCAGATTTGACTGGAAAGGAGTTAAAACCAGATATAGCCAGGTCGTGAATTGTAGTATACAATGCGAAATATAGATAGTCCTTGGTTTATGACCGTGAGGGAACCCGGCCATCACGATGGTAACTCGTGACTGTCATTAAAACAGCTTGTTTATGTGACTAACTTGATTTTATAACAGTTTTGGAAGTGGTTGTTAAGCGAACGCAGCAGTCGTAAACCAAAAACCAGTGATTTGCTATGGGCGTGGTTTTACCAAACACTGGAAGTATAACCGCCAGGTTTCCACACAACCACTGCAAAACACAGTCAGATGAAATCAGAGTGCTGCAAGCAGCCCTAAATGCAACCCTTTTGCCGAGGGCCTAAAATTTGGTCATGTGACCACGGGTGTCCGATACAAAGAACCAGGAGCCTTCATTGAATTCCAAAGCATTATTGCTAAGAGTCATGGTGGCGCAGTGGTTAGAGTGCAGTACTGCAGGCTACTTCTGCTGACTGCCAGCTGCCTGCAATTTGGCAATTCATATCTCACCAGGCTCAAGGTTGACTCAGCCTTCCATCCTTCTGAGGTTGGTAAAATGAGGACCCAGAATGTTGGGGGCAATAGGCTGACTTTGCAAACCACTTAGAGAGGGCTATAAAGCACTGTGAAGTGGCATATAAGTCTAAGTGCTATTGCTATACCCAAGAATCTGGTCAACTAATGGTTAAATCTAAATTGGCACTAGATAAAGGTCAGTGGAATTCATAGGGGGCTGGACTTGGATCTCTTGTGGCAATGTAATGACTCCAAACTGATGACACGCTTAACCCCACCTTCCAGTTTAACCTGCTCATCTCCTACATCAGGGGCAACTGTCAGAACTTTGAATCTGGAACTTAAGCATTTAAGTGACTGGTTACAAGTCAAGGATTACCTGTATACAATTAATGGAATAGCAATAGCACTTAGACTTACATACCACTTCACGGTGCTTTCCAGCCGTCTCTAAGCAGTTTACAGAGTCAGCCTCTGGCCCCCAACAGTCTGGGTCCTCATTTTACCCACCTTGGAAGGATGGAAGAGCTGAGTCCAACCCTGAGCTTGGTGAGATTCAGACTGCTAAATTGCAGGCAGCCGGCAGGCAGCAGAAGTAGCCTGCAGTACTGCACTCTAACCACTGCACCACCGTGGCTCAGAATATCAATTGGACTAGTTCATCAAAAGGTTAGTCTGCATGAAGCATGAAAATACCAACACAAGGAAGCCAGGAGTGGGCTGCTGGGTATTCACAGGGGTTCGGGAGAACCTCTAGCTAAGATTCTGTGCAGTTCAGAGAACCCCCAAATCCCACTCTTGGATGGCACTGCCCTCCCAGGAGTCCCCATGTGGCCCATTTTAGATGCAGGTAAGTGCAGGGCGCGCACGGAGGCTTGGAGAGGGTGAAAAACGGGCCTGCTGGAAGTTCTGGAAGGCCGGAAAAGGTCCCATTTCTAGCCTCCAGAGGGCCTACAGAGCCTGGGGAGGCCGTTTTCACCCTCCCAGAGGCTCAAGAAAAGCCTCCGGAGCCCGGGGAGGGCAAAAACACACATACACACACACACACACACACCACTATGGTGCAGGAAGCTGACTAGGCCACACCCACCCACCCAGCAACCAGGCAGAGAACCCCTCACTAAAAATTTTGAAGCCCACCCCTGAAGAAAGCCCAGAGTTTGTATCAAATTGTCTATGGTGGATACGGAGGTATTTACTTCACTGATTTCTTCTCTGCATTTATCCGTTCTCCCACCTTCAAGAGAGGAATGGGAATGGCTGCAGAACCTGGCTAGCATGGAAGAGGCCATTCCCTCCGAGCAAGAACTGGAAACTTCTCAGCAGCTTTTTCTTCAGGAGCTCCAAGGGGCCATCCGAGAGCTGATGCAGCTGGTCAACATCCCACTTCACGAGGTAGATCCTAGGTGGGAACCACATGATGGGGGTGGGCAGGAGAAAGAAAGAAAGAAAGAAAGAGCATGGGATTTTATAGCATGTCTGAACTGTTGTGGATTCTGACAATCCACAACAATGAAGTTCATGCAAAGGTTCTTCTGAAGGCGCAGCCAGGAAGGCAAGGTTGAGCCCAAATGGACATCTTTGCCATTTGGATGCAGATTCTTTTCAAAGCCCCGGTGGCCCCATTCTTCCGCAAGTCAATCTTGTTGATATAAATGGCCTGATTTGGGTGCATTTAACAATAAACCAATTAACTCACATATAAGTAAAGGTAAAGGTTCCCCCGCAAATGTGTGCTAGTTGTTTCCGGCTCTAGGGGGTGGTGCTCATCTCCGTTTCAAAGCCAAAGAGCCAGCGCTGTCCGAAGACGTCTCTGTGGTCATGTAGCTGGCATGACTCAACGCCGAAGGCGCATGGAACGCTGTTACCTTCCCACCAAAGATGGTCCCTATTTTTCTACTTGCATTTTTTACCTGCTTTCGAACTGCTAGGTTGGCAAATGCCGGGACAAGTAACGGGAGCTCACCCCGTTATGCGGCACTAGGGATTTGAACCGCTGAACTGCCGACTTTCTGATCGACAAATGGCAGTCCAATCTTTTCTTGAAAAGTGATGAAGCTCCCACAAATTCCGAGGCAACTTCTGTTCCATTGGTTGATTGTTCTCACTGTCAGAAAGTTCCTCCTTTATTTCCAGCTTGAATTTCTCCTTGTTCCGTTTCCATCCATTATTCCTTGTCTGGCCTTCAGGTGCTTTGGAAAACAGCTTGACCCCCTCCTCTCTGTGGTAGCCCCTCAAATATTGGAAGACTGCCTCATGTCTCCCCTGATCCTTCTCTTCACTAGACTAGCCATGCCCAGTTCTGCCAAACTGCTATGTTGGCAGAAGACGGGACAAGTAACGGGAGCTCACCCCGTTACGCAGCACTAGGGATTCGAGCCGCTGAACTGCCGACCTTCTGATCGATAAGCTCAGCGTCTTAGCCACTGAGTCACCGCGTCCCCTTAGCTCACATATAAAAAGGATGCAGATTGTTGTCATGGGAACAACAACCCACTTGCGACCCTCTCCTTGAGATCTTCACATGAGAGACGTGAATCAAAATAAATAAGTATGCATCTATATATCTCTTACGATTGGAAATGCCAATAAGGCACGTTCTCAATTTTGGGGAAAGTTAAATGATTAATTCATCCACTCTCAGCCCCTCTCCAGATCTTAGTAGTATTCAATTCAACCAAAAACTTTAGAGCCACTTATTCGAAACATTACATCGATGGGGAGGGTGGCTGGAGCATTGGACAGCTCCTTCTGAGATTCACATCTGTAGCCTGAATGGTGATAAAGCCTCACTTTCTAAAGCAAATCAGCTTTACAAATATTAACTAATCCATATCTATATCCTTTGTCTATTTGTCAGGCTCAAAATCCACAAAACGTATCATTGGGGGGTGGATTTGATTTGATTTTTAAACAGTATTAAACGACCCTAAATTGTCATCATATCTGGGTCTTCTTCAGTCCCACTAATTCAAAGGAATTTGAATAAGGTTTGGAAATGGCCATCAAAATACAGTAGTGGCCAAAATTGTGGAAACCTTTTGGGGAAAGTGTATTTTCTAAAACTAGCTAGTAACACCACTTTTTTTTTTTTTTTGAGTAGTACCATAACATTATATATCAATGGAAAGATAATTTAATCAAGAATGTAATGCAATAACTTTTAGGAAGGATTTGCTATTAGAATAGCAGGTACAGTATAAAGAAGAAAAGTGAAACACGTAGAAAAAACGAGATATACAAAAATGATCACCATGTCAGTTAATCCTTAGTTGGGTAACCTTTAGCATGAATTACGGCCTTACAACATCTTCCTATGGAGTGAACCAAGTATTTTAGTTCTGCAGCTGTTACAATGTAAAACCAAGATTGAAGGATGGCTTCCATTAACTGGGTTTTATTGCTGGGTCGCTTCTGACTAACACGTTTCTTGAGTCGGCTCCCTAGATTTTCAATTGGGTTAAGATCTGGGCTATTCCCAGGCCATTCCAGCACTGGAATAGGATTGTCTTGAAACGCCAAAAAAAAAGTGGTGTTAGTAGCCATCAAACCTCAAAAATACACTTTTCCCAAAAGGTTTCCAGAATTTTGGCCACTACTGTATTAGCTTCTGCTCGTAGGTCAATGCTCAAATTCCTTTGCTTCCTACGTCAAGCAAAATGCATTTGTATTCTACATTATTCATATTATTATTCATATTAATATCATACTATATTATTCATCAGAATCTAATGAGAAGACCATGTTACAAGGGGAAAGTTCAAAACATCTTTCTAAGACATTCTGGTCATTATAAACCATTTCGATATAAGCCACCCAAAAGAGCGGACAATGGTGATTTTGGCAGCTGCTGAACAGATGAGAATTAAATGGAGTAAAGCCACCTGATTCATTTTACAAGTCTTCGTTTTACAAGCTAGTTTTTTTTTTAAATGTAAAAAGATCTTTATGGATCCTCTTTCCTTCGCCACCGTTGATTAACAAGATCAAACATGGACTCAGGAGATTCAGATTCAGATCCTCACTTGACCATATGTGATGGAATAACTTTGGGCCAATATTTTAGCATCATAGAATGGTGGTGAGGACAGTATTATTGTTCAAAGAAGAGGGAGAGTATGAGTGCAATAAAATGCTGCAATTAGAAGTCCCCTCTGTAGACTCCATACTTCAGCTAGGAGCTTGGAGAAAGTCAATAACAGTGTCAGACTTCACACTAATAAAACATTTTCTGTGTTTAAATTCTGCAGGCCAAAGATTTCCGCCTCTACAGTCAGGAAGTTCTGGATTTTGGACCACAAGTCTCCTTCCTTCTACTTCTTCCCCCTTCAGATGATGTGTGCACTGCTCCTGGCCAGAATAACCCTTACACCCCTCGGTCTGGCTTCCTCACCCTTCCTCTTCAGATCTTCGAGTTAGGTGAGAAGAACACTGCACAGAGAGCTTCATTCCTTGTTCCTTGGAACAGGACAATTTGCTATGGCCAACTTGCCATGGCCATCTTATTGTGGCCAATTTACCATGGTGATTTTGCTGCGGCCATCTCACTGCAACCTTCTCACCGCAAGACAGCTCATCACGGCCAACTCATCGTAACTCACCCCCTTATCCTCTTTCTTGAAGGCAAAATTGCATCAAGTTATTCTCTGCTGTTTTTTTTTTCCTACGTGAGATCACTGTGCTTCCGCTCTTCTTTAGATAAGAAGGCATTTTCCCACGCCATCTCGAGTTAAGGTGCAAAACTCAGATTAGTACACTACATCAATTTTTTTACAATTGACTCAGATTGATTTTTTCCTCTTTGAAACATGCCCTTCATGATTTGTACGAAGAGGCATAGTTTATTGAATCAAGGGGGAAAAAATGATCTGGAAAGAACGAGTAACTAACATACAAAGCTGTAGATGCTGAAGTTTTGAGGTCACCAATAAATACTTCTCCTATCATCAAACGCCACTTCAAGTAGAAATCAAAAATCATAGCCGAGGTGGTGCAGTGGTTAGAGTGCAGTATTGCAGGCTAACTCTGCCGATTGCCAGCAGTTCAATCCTGACTGGCTCAAGGTTGACTCAGCCTTCCCTCCTTCCTAGGTGGGTAAAATGAGGACCCAGATTGTTGGGGGCCAGAGGCTGCTCTGTAAACCGCTTAGAGAAGGCTGTAAAGCACTGTGAAGCAGGATATAAGTCTAAGCGCTATTGCTATTACTATAGAGCAAGGAGCCGCCCATCGGTTTTACTATCGGTTCTATAGAACCGGACTGAACCAGGGGCAACCTACCACTGCTATAGAGGACTCTTTTTGTTTGAACCCCTGCAAGAATCAGTTTCTGCTTCTTGGATGCTTTTTTTTTTCTTTTCATGACATCCAATGTCCTTCCTTCTCTTTCTTTTGTAGTTCATTTCTTCACTTATGACCACGAGTTCATTAGGCAGTATTGCCAAGCATCTGCATTTCTGGAGCTGGAATCGCTCCTCTCTCAACAGAGCCTGCGGGAGGCCTTTTCGGACTCTGAACTAACGACTGCCAAGCAGCGGCATCAGCAAGTTCAGGATTATATACAGGTATGGTAAAGCAGGGAAGAGTGGTGCAGTAGCCTAGAGGTGGGGTTCTCCCCTCACAATCAGGAGCCTGTGAGTTCGATCCTAGGTAGTGGCAGATATTTTTCTCTCTGGGCACACTGAATAATTATCTGCTGCAAACTCTGCATTGGTGACAGGAAGGGCATCCAGCCAGTAAACACTCTCCTTCATTCGGTTGCCCCGACTCCACCCCGATGTAAGGGATTACGGAATCATTAAAAGACAAAAAAAAATTCATTTCATAGGTAACTTCATCATGGCTAGAAGGGAGTGGGGCTACTCTCTGCTTCCATGTTGACTCGTGCATCCATGAATACCAACGAGCAGTCAAAAGATGTAATGAAAACTCCTTAATTGCACAATGCATAGATACATGGTTTCAGTTAGGAGATAGTGAGCATCTAGAGCAAGCTAAGTCCAAAAACGCTAGAGAGTTCCCGGAACTCCCTGGCACTCAGAGAAATCGACCATCAACAGGCACATAGAGATAAAGAACATCTACATACCATTCAAAAAAGACAATCGAAAAACTAAAAGACCACGATCCCAATAGAAGAGAATATTTACAGTTCAGAGTTGAACTGTGGGGGTCTTTGGTGCTCTCCGAGCTTGGTGGTTTTCTTGCGGATGTTTCATTACCAAATTAGGTAACATCATCAGTGCTGGAAGGAAGTGGGGAATGGGACCAGAACACCCTGACCAGCAAGCAGTCAACAACCAGATAAGCAGAGATTAACATCAAGCAGTAAACAATACTCTAAACCATGGTTTCCTTTATAGAGTGCCTGACCCATTGCAACTTTTGCTTTGGCTGTTGGCTCATGGTGCCTTTTGACATCCTTATGGTTTCTACCAGAAACCTATGACAGGCAAGGTATGGTTAGTTGCGTGTTCTTGCAGACCTCTGAAATTCATGTCTGATCCTTTGGGTCCCTTTTCTTGGACAGCAAATGGAAGAGATTTGGCGAGAAATGCGTTGGATGATGGACGCCTTGCAACACGCCCGATACAAGCAACCATCTTGTGCCCTCCCACTTGTGTGGTTCGTCAAAGAATCGAGCACAGCACAAAACGAGAAAACTCAATCCACCTCTTCTCACTTAGACTTCCTTCCGTCGCCAACCCCATCTCCTGAAATGAGCCGTAAACTCAACTCTGGTGAGTGCTTATGTTTTTACAAGTTGGATCCCTCTTCTGGTAAGTGTCTTCTGCCTTAAAATTGGCTATTGAAACTCTCCAGAAAAAACTAGGAAAAATGTCTGTCTGTCTGTCTGTCTGTCTGTCTCTCTCTCTCTCTCTCTCTCTCTCTCTCTCTCTCTATCTATCTATCTATCTATCTATCTATCTATCTACAGTATTTATCTATCTATCTATCTATCTACAGTATTTATCTATCTATCTATCTATCTATCTATCTATCTATGTACAGTATCTTTCTATCTATCTACAGTATCTATCTATCTTTCTATCTATCTATATTTCTATCTATCTATATTTCTATCTATCTATATCTATCTACAGTATCTTTCTATCTACAGTATCTTTCTATCTACTGTATCTATCTATCTATCTTTCCATCTATCTATCTCTATCTATCTATCTATCTATCTATCTATCTATCTACCTACCTACCTACCTACCTACCTACCTACCTACCTACCTACCTACCTATCTATGAGCCACGGTGGCACAGTGGTTAGAGTGCAGTACTGCAGGCTACTTCTGCTGACTGCCGGCTGACTGCAATTTTGTCAGAATATTCATGACCAGGAAGACATGGTAACAAGGTCAACCAATGAATAGGCATGGCAAGAGATCAGCCAATGGGAGCTGAAACAGTTCTGGAGGCTGGGCGTGGCTCAGCTCTGTGTGTGTGTGCAAAAAGGAAACTGAAACTGAGCAGTTAAGCTCTGAGCTGTGAAGCTGCAGACAAGTTTGAACTCTTCTAGTCTGCCTCTCTGAACTGATCTGAAACTGAAGAACCACTCTTGGTATTGTATATATTACTTCATGGGTTATTATGTATATAAAGAAGTTAAAATCGGTTTACATGTGTGTTTCTGGATTTGATTTTTGCAAGAAACTCTGATAAATTTGGCAGTTCAAATCTCACCAGGCTCAAGGTTGACTCAGCCTTTCATCCTTCCGAGGTTGGTGAAATGAGGACCCAGATTGTTGGGGACAAGAGGCTGACTCTGTAAACTGCTTAGAGAGGGCTGTAAAGCAGTATGAAGCGGTATATAAATCTATGTGCTATTGCTATCCATCCATTCATCTCATTCATCTATATCTGTCTGTCTGTCTGCCTGCCTGCCTCCCTATTTATATCTATCTATCTATCTATCCATCATCCATCCATCCATCAAACAAAAATTACAAATTTGAATGAACCAAATGAAAAATTATTGTGTCCAAAATTTCTGTTTCTAAGCGAGACCGTTGTTAAGTGAGTTTTGCCCCAATTTTGCCCTTAACTTTGCTTGTAAGAAGGTCACAAAATGGGATTCACTGCAACCATCATAAATATGAGTCAGTTGCCAAGCGTCCAAATTCTGATCACGTGACCATGGGGTTGCTGCAACGGACATGTGAAACACGATCATAAGTCATTTTTTTCAGTGCTTGTTGTAGCTTCGGACAGTCACTAAACGGAAGGTTGGAAGTTGTGGACTGCCTGTACTTGGGAGCAGTGGTGGGCTTCAAAAATTTTAGCAAGGGGTTCTCTGCCTGGTTGCTGGGTGGGTGTGGCCATGGTGGGTGTGGCCTAGTCGGCCTCCTGCACCATGGGGGGGGCATTTTTGCCCTCCCTGGGCTCCGGAGGCTTTCTTCGAGGCTCCGGGAGGGTGAAAATGGCCTCCCCCCATGGTGCAGGAGGCCCTTTGGAGGCCTCCGGAGGCCCTCTGGAACCGGGCCCATTTTCTGGTAGGCCCATTTTTCACCCTCCCTGAGCCTCGGCACACGCCCTGCACTTATCTGTATCCAAAACGGGCCGCGTGGAGACTCTTGGGATGGGAGGGGTGGGGTGGGCCCAGCCAGGAGTGGAATTTGGGGGTTCTCCAAACTGCACAGAATCTTAGCTAGAGGTTCTCCCGAACCCTTGCGAACCTCCAGCAGCCCACCCCTGCTTGGGAGATACCTGAAAATAGTAGAGATGGAGGCCGAAGTGACCTTTGTATCTTCTTCTTGCAGATTCACATGGGATCTCAGATGAGGAGGGGTCCTCAGAAGTGTTCTTAGCTACCGACAGCGATTATGACTCCAGCAGCGCTCAGAGCCCTCGGGAACTTGACCTCGTCTACTCTTCTTCGGGACTTGAATGCTGCAGGAGAAGAACTCCCCGCCCCTTGAGGGACAGCGCCCCTGACGTCCTCCAGAGCCACGAGCTCAAGATGGCCCCCATGCCTCCTAAGGAGCCTCAGCCTCTCTCAGAGCAATACGACAGCGACTTCGTGCTTCCCAGCCGACAAATTGAGCTGCTGCGCATCACGGAGAAAAGGCAGGCTTACTGTGTCCGGACCAGCAGTCTGGATTTCCCCAAGCCCTTCTGTCACGGGGCCAGGAAGTCTTGTCCTGGTTCGGTGGACAGCTCTCCAACCGAGAGCAGGACGGCTGGCCACTGCAGCTCTGTGCCATCTGGAACGAGATCCGCTTTCAGTTCCAGCCACGATTGGCACGCGGAGAGCTCGGGGCCTGTGTTTCGGACACGTTCGGTAGAGTGGACTCAGACCTTCCAGGAGACCTCTGAGACGGGACATGTAGCAAACTGGGGCAGGTTGCCAGGTTCCTTCATCGTACGTGTATGCGCTCAATACGAAACGGGGCTCTCCAAAGAAACCATCGTCAAGGTACCTTTAAATTCCTGGTTTCGCCTGATCAGCATCATGTTGTAATGTTGAGAATGAAGGGATGCTTATGTCCTGACTTAGGCTTCCCCCAAAAAGCACGAAGCAGAATCCTGGTCCCGACAAAATCCCTTTTATTAAACAAACAGTGAATTCCTCTCATTCACATCCAGCAAAGTCTTTCAAGGGAGAATTTACCGTCACAGACCTTATCTGGCTTGGAGAGCTGCCAGGCCGATATCTTCAAAACTTGGCAAAGAGTCTCAGAGAGTCACGAACCAATTAGGCGAACTAATTGTCTCCTGCAAACTCCCCTCCCCTTTTGCTCCTCTTTTATTCCTTCTGGGAGGGGCCCTTCCACCTGTGGCTTTACTCCCAAGTCGACCCTTGTTCTTTAGCTGTTCCCTTCGTCTGCGCATGCACACACTGGGAACAGGCTCCAGCTGTTCCTCTGCCTCACTGATGTCTGATTCCGAAGGCAGCTGATAACTGGCATACGGCCCTGGTCCTCTCTCTGCCTCAGATGCAGAGCCTTCATCCGAGCCTTCCCCAGACTCCAGGACTGGCCCATGTTCCTCCCCAACCTCCTCACTGTCTGAATATGCTGCCAGCTCCGCTGGCCACTGATGGGCCACAACACTAATGGCTTTTCCCAAGTCTGGGCTGCCCTGTCCCTTTTTTAGTTTTGGGTCTTCTCCCCAGTGTCGGTATGCCAGAAGGAGCAAATGTTTCATGACACATTCTGAGCATATATCTAGATGTGGTTCTACGTACTAGAGTTTCTGCTTTGCAAAATGTCTTGGAGAGAGAAACCAAGAATACACATTGCAAGAATTTGCAAAATGTACAAAACTAAAAAAAAAATAAAAAATGAGGTTCTAATTTGATAAATGTATTATCTAGGGCAGGGGTCCCCAACCTTTTGGACCTCAGGAACCACAAATTCATAATTTTAAATCCCGTGGACCACTAATATGATCTGTCTAATGACTGGCTGGATGGGCGTGGCTAGGTGGGATCATGTGACTGGGTGGGCGTGGCCAACTTGATGTCACTCACATTGAGGGGTGCCTCGCCGGCCTCTACTCACCCCTCCTGTCCTAGCCACTCCTCGCCTGCTCGCCTGGGCTCCCTAAGGCCCCAACAGGAAGCAGTTGTTGGAGCTAAGCAGCCACCACGAGAAAGAGTTGGCAAAAGAGCTGGCTCAGTTCAAACTGGATCTGACCAAGAAGGAGGCTCAGTGGAAGCACCTCACTGAGGACTAGGAGCTTAGGCTTTCCAAGCAGAGGGAAGACTTGTGGGAGTGCAAGGCCAGGTACCGGCGCCTGGAGGCTCAGCGGGCTGAGATGGTCAGCCAGTTCCAGGCCATGATGCAGTCCCACTGGAACGAGGCCCTCTGGCTCTTCACCACCAGCGGCTCTTCCCTCCAGCCTTTACCCAAAGCCCCGCACCAGGAGGCCGAAGCAGACCCCGAGTTGAAATTTCTGCCCCCCCTCCGACCCACACAAAAAGACCCCAAAGGGGGAGACTCTCTGCAGCAACACAGGCACGTATCCGTCCCAGGGGCCATAGTTTGAGGACCTCTGATTTGGTGCAATATTAAAAATACAAATAATTTTTCTGCGGACCACCAAAATTTTCTCACAGACCACCAGTGGTCCATGGACCACCAGTTGGTGACCACTGATCTAGGGGATAACAAAATAATAGAGTTGGAAGGGACCTTGGGGATTCTTCTAGTCCAGCCCCCTTCCCTCAAGCCGAAAACCCTATACCATTTCAGACAAATGGTTGTCCTATCTCTTCTTAGAAAGCTTCAGTACTGGAGCATTCACAGCTTCTGGAGGCAAGTTGTTCCACTGATTCATTGTTCTCACTGTCAGGAAATTCCTCCTTAGTTCTAGATCGGTTCCCTCTGTTATTAGTTTCCATCCGTTGCTTCTTGTCTTGTCTTTGGAAAATAGGTTGACTCCCTCTTCTTTGTGGCAGCCCCTCAAATATTGAAACACTGCTATCATGTCACCCCCAGTCCTTCTTTTCATTAGACTAGACCAGCGGTGGCGAACCTATGGCATGCGTGAAAGAGGTGGCAAGCAGAGCCCTCTCTGTGGGCACGTACACCATTGCCCCAGCTCTGTTTCGGGTCTCTACCGCACATATGCGTGGGTCTCCCGCCAGCCAGCTGGTCTTCGGGTCTTTGCCGCTCATGCACAGGTGCGCGCCCATGCCTTGCAGCTTGGGTGTGTGCACACCAGTGGTGGGTTTCAAAATTTTTACTAACGGTTCTGTGGGCGTGGCTCGGTGGGCGTGGCAGGGGAAGGATACTGTAAAATCTCCATTTCCTCCCGATCAGCTGGGACTCGGGAGGCAGAGGATAGATGGGGGCGGGGCCAGTCAGAATTTTTACTACCGGTTCTCTGAACTGCTCAAACTTTCCGCTACCGGTTGTCCAGAACTGGTCAGAACCTGCTGAAGCCCACCTCTGGCGCACACACTTTGGACACTCGGTGCCTAACAAGTCCGCCATCACTGGACTAGACATACCCAATTCCTGCAACTGTTTTTCATACGTTGTAGCCTCCGGTCCCCTAATCATTTCTGTTGTTCTTCTCCTCCTCACTCTTCTTGGAAGACGCCCTCATTCTTGCATGTTCTTCCTCTTTGTCTCACCTCCCTTCTCTCTTTATGCACAGCTGCCCCTCACTAACAAGATGTCGGCAGAAGATGTGGTGAAGTTGGTAGTCCAGGAGACGAACGAGGTCTCGCGCAAAGTCCTGGGAAACGCCAACGCGGTCTGCTACGGCGAAGAACAGTTGAGCCACTTTGCGTTAGTGTTCGTATCGGATGACGTGGAACAGTGCCTCCCCAACAATTTCCTGCCCCTCTCCCTCCAAAAGGCCTGGCCGAATGGGAGATTCTGCGTCCGGATCAAAGACATGTCCCCTCTCTTGTTTCGGTATGGCCCAGCCACAACGGTATGAGGGGGGAAGGACACCAGAAGGAGAACAAAACACACAAGGACCACCCAACTTCCAACGAGCAGAAAGCTCACCACCAATGCTTCCTTCTGAACGGACACTTTCGGGCCAGATGTTGCGGGCCAGAAGCGTATTGGGCAGTGTGTTGCTTTTGTATGTTTGTGTGTGTGTGTATGTGCGTGCGTGTGTGTGTGTGTGTGTGTGTATGCGTGTGTGTGTGTTTTATTTTACCAAAGAGACAACAAGACCTGATTGTTATGACCTCAAGAAGTGAGGGTGAAACCCAGGAGCCTTTGGGGGGGGGAGGGGTGAAATTCGACTTTTGATCAGCCGAGACAACAAAGCTGGTTAGGGATAAAGAAGCAATATGTAATTATATATATTTTTTCAGAACAGTGTAGAGGAGAGAGAAACGGGGTTGAAAGAAATGCTGGGAATACACCAGAGCAGGGGTCTCCAGGTCTCCAACCTTGGCAACTTTAAGCCTGGAGGACTTCAACTCCAAAGAATTCAAATTCAAATCTTTATTGTATTTATTACCTATGTACAATGAGATTGGTGGTGCTCCCTCAGGGCACCCCCCCCAACACAATACAACTCACAGTGAAGACAAAACAAACCCCTCACCCAATAAATCATATTAACAAAACACCCAGTCCTATTGCACCAGTGTGTACATGTTACACGCTGCACCGGCCCTGCAAGTCCATCATACTATGTAGTTATGATGTTATTTCTCATTCAGGAGTCCTGACAGCCCACGGATAAAAACTGTTCTTCAGCCTATTTGTGCGGCTGGCTATGCTTCTATATCTCCTTCCCGATGGTAGGAGGAGGAGGAGAAGGGCGGTATAGAAATATAATAAAATAAATAAATAAATAAATAAATAAAGAAGCTCAATGTCAGCGTTCCAGAAAAAAAACCCAACTCCAAGTAAAAACTCCGAAGCAAGCATTTTTTCGAATTTGCTTTGCTGGCTGGTGAATTCCGGGAGTTGAAGTCCTCCAGGCTTAAAGTTGCCAACATTGGAGACCCTTGCACCAGAGGGTTCTCCAGGAAGGGGAAAAGGCCATGGCAATCTCACAAATTTTATGTCCTGTTACCTGTTTCTGTTTCGTTATACCTGGAAAAGTAGGAAATTGCCCTTAATTCTTTGAACAAACTCTCCTCTTTTTTGAACAAAGCAGTTAATAAAAGACGAACACGAGATATTCGTCTTTTAACTGCTTTGTTCAAGTTGTTAAAAGGACTAACTGCTTTAAATTTCTCCTCTTTTTTTTTTTTTTTCCTTAATTCCATCCTGGCTGTTTTGTAACACAGGATTTTGTGGCGGCTCAAAATCTGCGGGAAGCTCAAGTCCTTTCTCTCTCCAAAGTTTAAGAGATCATACTTTTATCTTTGGGATTTAAAAAAAAAAAACCCTCTTCTTGGTAGGAAGACTGAATCAACCTTTCCCTTTCATTCATTAGCACTTCCATTCTTAGAATGATCCAAATTGGGCGAACGGCAGGATTGATTGGTTTTTTTTAAGAGCTGTGCTTTACTGTAAGACCTTGTTGATCCCTTTCCCTGATCTATCATCTCCTTCTTTTCTACTTCTCCATGGATTTTGGAAGGTACACAGATAAACAGTGATTGGGAGTCAACTGTAAGGTTGCTGGGATTAGGAATGTCTTCGTTCTGCCTTCTATTACAGACTTGGTTCAGTGTTCGGAAGCTATGACCATCCTTTTCTATCTTCCAAGTGGAAAATGGAAACATCTGCCAAGCCAACCAGGTTTCCATCTTTCTTATAAACAAGAGTAGCATTGAACGGGTCAAGTGGAAATAACCAAGAGCATTTCTTGAGTTCAAATCACAGAACAGTTTATAATTGCACCTCTAATGGTCAAAGCTAAATTGGCGCTAGATCAGGGTCAACAGAATTCTCTTGTGGCAACGCAGCGACTCCACGCTGATAACTTTTAACCCCACCTTCTAGCTCAGCTCGTTCTCCTACAGAACGGGGGTCTTTACAGAAACTGATGTAGACATTCTAGTGGAAGCAGGGAGGAACTTAGCAAAGACAAAGCACAAGCCAGTAAACATTCATTCCCCACCTTCTGCCTGAAAAAGGTGCAAAGATACCAAAGCTAAGAAGAAGGTTTCTTTGGATGGCTTACAATGAAGAGCGTACAATCATCTGCAATGACTTTTGATTTGGTATCTCTTGTCCATTCCCATGATAGATAGCACAGAATTTCTAGAGAAGAGGGGACTGCATCTTAAATTGTTCACAGAATTGTGTAAGAGCCTTCTGGGAGACCATTCCTAATTTCTTGGACCATGGCTAAGTCTTAAGTTCTTAAATGAATAAAACTTCACAACAGCTGGACATCCACGTTTGAGGAGCACGGGTTCCAGCTTCCCAAATTGCTACTATTTTTTTTTAATTGTTCCAAAAGTAGAAACCATCTCCACACTCATCCAAAAGACCCCCGTAGGCTGGGGTTGTTGCTTACTATAAGAGACTCCAAAACAACCTTGAAGGAACCATCTGTTCTAGAAGGTTGGTATCTCAGAGCCCTTAAAGACATAATCAGTTGTGTAGTCTGAGAGATCTTAAAAATTCACACCAGAGAAAGAGAAATGAAATAACAAATTGCAGTGATGCCTAGCATATTAAAATCTACCTCTTCTCTATTGTCCCATTTGGGTTCCATTGAGATGATTGTTCTGAGTTCATTGTTAGAGGGTTGCTGAAATTGCCCACAAAGACTTCAGTGACAGGTACCCAAAACCAACTGTGAAATTACAGGACTTTGACCATGGACCATCTCATATTTCTTTCAGTTGTATCCCATCTCAATGAAGTAAAAGGCCTCATATGGACAATCTGAAAGCGTTTTTCACTCCAAGCACTGAAGAGATCCAACCTTACGATCCAGTGAAATGGTTTCATCCTCCATTTTTCATCTCTGCCCATTCTCTGTTTACTGTTTGCCATGATTAGGTCTCCTTGCAGCAGATTCAGAGTAACTCCAGGTCACAGAGGATGGCCTTGGGAAGTTCTTCCTTCATAGCCGTCCTACGGATTCAGTCAGAACTGAAGAAGCTTCTCGGATGAAGAAGTGAAACATCTTCAAGGAAAAACAAAGTCCAGTTGCCTTTTGAAAAAGAACCTTTGGGAACATCCTATAGATCAGCGGTCCCCAACTTTTCCAGCTTGGTGGCCTGGCCTGACACGGGGATATGTGTGGGTGAGTGGCAGGTGCACATGTGCATACACACCTTCGTGTATGTGAGTCATGGGCGCATGACCTCCACTTGCATGAATGGAACTTTGCACACGAGCGCAAATGCCCTCCAATCACACAAGTGAAACTTCATGAGTGCACACTTGTCCAGCTTCCCCACGGCCCAGTTTCAAACAGGCCATTTGCCCTCCCTGGGCTCCAGAGGCTTTTCTCGAGCCTCCGGGAGGGCGAAAATGGCCTCCCCAGGCTCCGGAGGCCTTTTGTAGGCCGGAAATGGGGCTGTTTCTTCCTGAACTTTCGGTAGGCCCCCCTTTTCGCCCTCCCTGAGCCTCCGTGCGCGCCCTGCACTTACCTGCATCCAAAACGGGCTGCGTGGGGACTCCTGGGGTGGGAGGGGTGGGGTAGGCGGAGCCAGCCAGGAGTGGGATTTGGGGGTTCTCCGAACTGCACAGAATCTTAGCTAGAGGTTCTCCCGAACCCCTGCGAGCCCCCAGCAGCCCACCCCTGGAAGAAAGTTCTCCATAAGACCAAAACAGACATCTCAATGTCTGTCAGAGATACTGTCCATGTCGCAGCTTCAGCTACATATTATAATCCAGACTGCATTGTTCCATTTCAGATTACACGTTAAGGAAAAGACATGGTAATATCTTAATTACTGCTTGGGGATCCACACCAGATTCTTATCATTATGGGAGTCGTTTACTTTAGCAACAAGAGTTCATCTTCAAGGAAGACGGCCCAGAAAATATGATCAAGTAAACAGCATATAAAATGGCATTAAAAACATTCAGACTGGTGCTGCACCTTCTAACTTCATATTGAGATGATTTTAATTGCTGATTGGGCTCAGTATAAGATAAGCAGATACAGGTAGTCCTTGATTTATGACTATGACTGAGCCCAAATTTTCTGTTGCCAAGGATGACAAATTATTAAGTGAATTTTATGCCCCCTTTTATGGCCTTTCTTGTCACCGTTGTTAAGTGAATCACTGCCGTTGTTAGGTTAGTAACGGTAGTTAAATAAATCAGGTTTCCCCGTTGACTTTGCTCGTCAGAAAGTCGCAAAAAAGGGGATCACAGGATTCCGAGACACTGCGTCCGTCATAAGTATGAGCCAGTTGTCAAGCATCCGAATCACGTGACCATGGGGATGCTACAATGGTCGTAAAGTGTGAAAAACGGTCACAAGTCACTTTTTCCACTGCCGTTCTAACTTCGAACGGTCGCTAAATGAAAGTTGTAAGTCAAGGGCTACCTGTATATAAATGTTTTAAATAAAGAATATTGTAGAAAATGGACTCATCTCTATCAAGGTACAGTAGTGGCCAAAATTGTGGAAACCTTTTGGGAAAAGTGTATTTTTGATGGCTAATAACACCACTTTTTTTTTGGAGTTTCAAAATAATCCTATTCCACTGCTGGAATGGCCTGGGAATAGCCCAGACCTTCACCCAATTGAAAATCTAGGGAGCCGACTCAAGAAACGTGTTAGTCAGAAGCGACCCAGCAATAAAACCCAGTTAATGGAAGCCATCATTCAATCTTGGTTTCACATTAGAACAGCTGCAGAACTAAAAGACTTGGTGTCAGCACTAGAGTAAATGCAGGTTGAAGTGCATCGAAACTTGACACTTGGTTCACTCCATGGGAAGATGTTGTAAGGCCGTAATTCATGTTGAAGGTTACCCAACTAAGGATTAACTGACATGGTGATCATTTTTGTATATCTCATTTTTCCTACATGTTTCACTTTTCTTCTTTATACTATTTCTATTTCTATTTATTGTCTATTTCTATTTATTGAATTTCTATACCGCCCTACTCCCGAAGGACTCAGGGCGGTGCACAGCCATGAAATAAAACACATAGATATACAAAATTTAAAATTGAATAAAATGAATTAAATAAATTTGGCTGAATTAATACCCATAATTTAAAATACCCATAATCTTAAAATACATTAAAAAATTTAAAATTTACACTTAAAAGGGAGAAGATTTAGGCGAGGCCCGCTTGATGAAATAAAAGCGTCTTCAACTCGCGGCGGAAGGTGCGCAGATCCGGAATCCTCCGTATCTCTGGGGGGAGCTCATTCCAGATCGTCGGTGCCCCCACAGAGAAGGCTCTCCCCCTAGGGGCCGACAGCCGACATTGTTTGGCCGATGGCACCTGGAGGAGCCCCTCTCTGTGGGAGCGTACTGGTCGGTGGGAGGCTGTTGATGGTAGTAGGCGGTCCCGTAAGTAACCAGGTCCTAGGTTACTGTAACTGCTGTAACTGCTATTCTAATAGCAAATCCTTCATTAAAGTTATTGCACAACATTCTTGATTAAATTATCTTTCCATTGATATATAATTTTATGGTTTTACTCCAATAAAAGTGGGGTATTAGCTAGTTTTAGAAAATACACTTTTCCCAAAAGGTTTCCACAAGTTTCGCCACTACTGCATACTAAGGGATGAGAATTGATTGAGAGGCAAAATTAGGATGAGCAGGCAGGATGATGTAATTGTCCGAAGAGACATGTTGCTGGAGTATTTCAGTAGATAACAAACTTGAGGAATTGTCAAGCATCTCTTCCCGAATTCAAGAACTACCTATGCAGGCTTCTGGATTATCTTAATTGTCCCTTAATCCTGACATGGTCTCGTTTCATTTGATCCACAAACCTCCTCCATGAATTTCCTCCCGTTATCTTTTCTTTCTCGGTTTCTGTAGTTGATTTGTGTTTGTCATCTTGTAGACCAATACTAGTGCCTTTCCCAACATGCCAGGTCTTCGTTTACAGAACTGGGGACTTATAGCAGGAACCAGGATCTGGAGGTTGCCAGGTAGAACATCTTCCGTGGCTGGGCTTGAGGCTCTGATCTGCAGCCCAACCAAGTAGGACATCTTCTGTGGCCATGGTTGAAACTTTGATCTAAAGCTCAACCAAGTAGGACATCTCCCATGGCCAGGCTTGAGGCTTTGATCTGCAGCCCAACCAAGTAGGACATCTTCCATGACCAGGTTTGAGGCTTTGATCTGTAGCCCAACCGGTTTCAGACAGCAGCTTAGACACAGATCAGAACGTATAAGAACCGTTGAGTTCTCCATCTTCCTCTCCTTGATGAGCAATTTCATTAACAGCAATACTATCTCAGCCTGTTGTCCAAGGTCAACTGTAATATCCATTGGACTATAATATTTGGGAAGACTGCTGACTCAAAAAGAACTTTCCTGTGAAAATAACAAACAAGGATGCTTTGGGGTGGCCACAAGGTTGACCAACAGAAAAAAAATATAATGCCCTATTTCAAGAGAGAGAGATTTTATCTGAATTCAAGTATTCCCACCATCCCACAATCTCTTTCTGAGCTCTTAGCTCAGAGTTCTGGCCCTCTTAGCTCGGATTCTTCTCAACGTACTTCTTCTTCAGAAGATATTCTCAGTGGCCCTTAGCAATGAATAGTCTGTGTCAGGTTCTTCTTGTCAGAGTCACTGTACCTTTTACAGAGATCCAGGTATCTAAATTGAATTCTTTGTTCCCTGGGCAAGAGGAGGAAAAAAATATGTAATTAAACGATCAGAGATATTGCTCTATCCGTTCCAGGATGTTTGAAACCACTATGAACCTCATTCACGCATTACTTTCTCATCTACCACTTTTCAAATCTATATATATAAAAGCGAAAAACACTCATGTAGCATCACGAAATCTCCAGAACCGTAAAGCCTACAAACTTGAAATTTGGCACGTATGTTCCTCTTGGCTTCTAGGTGCTTGCTTAGGATTTTTCGAAATGACCATCAGAGCATTAGTATTTCTTATGATTATTAACACGCTCTGATGCTAAGGAGTTAGACGTGCTACTCCCCCTTCCCACCTGAAAATAACTCTGTTCCAACTGCCACTTGGGCATGGCCAGCACTTGACTCATCCAGCCTGTGGGCTGGGAGTTTGGAGAGGATCAATGGGGCAAACCTGAGGGAGAGAAAGGGATAAGTTAGGAGAGGCCTCTGTGGGGCAAACCTGAGGAGAGAAGGGGAGAGGAGAGGCCGAACATAATTACTCATTAATTTTCAAGCTATAAGTGTCAATTTATCAAGCCCGATCACATAGTTTAGTAGCGGAGCACAGGTATTCCTAGGAGTTCTAGGAGAAGGTCCATGCTTGTGGTTGGGCTCCCCTTCTACAGTATTTATCATCTGTGCTACTGAACGTGGTGGTGGGGACGTGAACGTGGTTCTATCTTCTGCCCAGTCTGGCCTGAAAACGGTCCTCACCCAAGTATGGTTGAAAGTTGAAAACATCTTCCTACCAGGAGGTGCTTCTCTATCCCAGTTATACCATCTAGAATTAAATTAAAAGAATCAAACTTGGTGGTAACCGAAATGCTCCCCCTTTCATTCTGTTTCCACGGCCACAAAGACATCGCAGAGATGTGCAGAAGGCGGTTTGTGCTGTCAAAGGTGTGCTAAGAGGAAAAAAAACATCCGTTGTGACCCTTTGAGCTGTTAACTTTCTCCTCCCTCCCTTCTCAGTTGCTGTTTTGTTTCTGTGAATTGTGAAGAATTGCTCTTGTACATCCAATAGCATGTTTCGTTGGCCGCGAGGTCTCTTTGTTCGCTGCTACTATTAACAGAACTGTGGTCCATAGTAAACACAGCTACGCCGCTGAGTACAGTCCCATGTTTCTTCACTAATGCCCTTTGGGGGAAAACATCTCCAGACTTTTGATCTGGAGGTCATATTTTTTGAACCTGAGTTCTGGGAAAACACAGTCTTGGGGGCAGGAGGAAGAGACGTGTCCATGGATGCACATAATAGAGGATAATCCATCTCTAATTCAACTACATAGGAACCTGATCAATGTTCTGCCCCAGCTACGGACCCCAAAGAACGCAGCACACACAAAGTCTGTACAAACCTTAGTTTACTAAATTGAATCAGTCTTTTTCAAACAAAGGCTGTTAATTAACTTTCTTAACAGCCTGCAAGAATCCAAAGAATAAATAATCGTAATCTTACTATGTTTGGCAGAAAGCCCAGAAGCAATTTGCAGGAAACTGATAAGAGAACTAAGATCCAGACGCGAAGGAGAGTGAACGAAGTTGTTCCCTGCAAATTGCCTCAGTCATCGTCCTTCCTTAAATAGGCTAAGGGAGTGGCCAAATAGCCCCAAGCCTTACTCTCGAGGAGACCTCCTCCTGAGAAGCCACCCCTGCCTTTTGGCAGCTCTGTGCGCCCGTGCATCGAGAAGAGCTCCTCCTCTTCTTCCTCTTCACTTATAGGAGCTTCTGGAGGTTCTGAAGGCCCTGGCTGAATCACCGCCTCTGGCACCACATCTTCTCCAGCCTCCTCATTGTGTGACTCGAGTGATAGCTGCACAGGCTG